TGCTATTATTTTTTGCATAATTATCTTTTTATTTATAATTGAAAAGTAAATTATCAATAATAAATATTATTGTCAATTTGACAGTGTCGTAAGTATTTAATTAAATTCTTTAGCAGAAGTACCATTTTTAAATACTAAAAATACCAAGTCAAACTGGCATAAGCCATCACCCTAACAAAAAAACACGAGTCCAGATAAAAAAAAAACTGTAATTATGCATGTTAAAATTACAAAAAAGATATACCTAACATGAGTAAATTATAAAAGTATAAATTCATATTAACAGTTCCAAAACATCTTACAATTGCATCAATCAATAAAAATATTATTATTGTTCTACAAACTGTAAACCTTGATTAAACCCAGACCAAAATGTATTATTCCACAAGTGTTACAATACAAAATTACGCAGGACCCTTTTAAAAACACGAAGAAAGCATTTCTTTTTGTAATAGAAAAGGGCCAAAGACCCTTTATTCTTTACAGGTTGCACAATACCACTACAACCATCTAAACAGGTATATATTCTACTCTTGTATGCGCCTTACGTTCGATGACGTCTTAGATTAGGTCCACTATACATCTGCTTTGCCACGAGTTCACCTGGTATACACGTCGAAGAGCAAAAACCATGTTGTCAGATTTTATGCAAAAATGTAAAAGCAAAATATTGTTTCATGATTTTGCTGATAGAATATATAATGACTTTAAATGATTTTTAATTGTTTTTCTATGGTTTATAAATGTTGGAAATAACATTATAACATTTCTGAAAATAATCTTTATTGTAAAAAATGTTTAAACATAAATTATAAAGGTTGGAAATGAGCAAATATTGGATGTATATATTAAAGAATGTGCGCGTTCATTTTCCTTGATTTTGGGATTTTTCGCAAGGTTTGGCAACATAGCTTTCTGGTTTTCGACGCGATAGCTTACACGTCACTGCTTTCTCTCAAGCACTGGAAAGAGATAAGACTATGCAACGTACGTGGTTACGATTCTTGAAGCCGTAGGACTGGAAACGCTCACTTTGAAGCATTTCGTAGCGCAGTCGACAGCGCTGTTACAAAACGTGCGCAGAATAACATTGTTGCCGTCCGCAGTACGCTAGTTTAATTACTCTTTTAAGTTTTTTGTTTTAAAACACACACGAAAATGGCACCACGCAGGCAAAATTCCAGAAACCAATACAGCGATGAACCTTTGCCAGAAAGAGGACCCGGTAAGATTTTTACCATTTTAATCCATTGACATATGCTTTGACGTTGAGCAGCATAGGGCACTACACCCATCGATTCGCCTTCGTTTTTCCTTTGTTGCGCTATCGCGTGTACCTGATGGTCACTATGTTTTTTGCTAGAAAAACACAGCCATGTAACGTGTGCGTTTTTCCTTAACCATATGTTGATTTTTGTACTGAATATTCTTGATTCATTTTTATTTTCACTTCTAACGGTACATAGGTGGATTATAAAATATACTTTAAGTCATGATTTAGATGATTTTTTTTGTTAATCCGCAGTTTCCATTATGTGGTATTTTTATCACTTTTCGATACATGTATTACTCAAACTGTAGTACTGAATTACATATTTTTTTTTAATTTAATATATCATTTTATAGTTCTCACAGATTCACCGTACTTTCCTTTTGGTCATGGAAACAGGTTATCTGCTTCTAATTATTGTGTTTTTTAAGCAATTTAAATATTTAAGTTAGGCTTTATCTCATAAATATATTTACTTATATTTAATTTTGATTCTAAGCTGATTCATATACTACCTAATTAGGTTATTTTCAACAATGTATAATTTTCAATGTCAGCAATTAAAAAAAATTGACACTATTTTTATGTATATGCAACTAGAAATTTACGCATTATTATAGTAGTATATATTGCTATATACATAATATACAAGGTGTTCCTAAAATGGCGCATTTTATTAGGTTAAAAAGCCTAGTTATGATATGAAATAATCGACATCTAATAGCGGTTGTTATATATAAAGAAGTTTAAGTTTAACATGGTTAACAAATGTATTTTTCTACAACCACTATGTAAAAGTCACATTTCATAATGGCATCGTTGCATTGTTTTGTATAATAATAATTAAGACAATATTTGAAAATTTTCCTGCACGTTTGTGCCTTTTGATTTAGCCGATAGAGCAGTAATAATTTTGGTCGAAATACCCATAAAAACATCTTGTAAGAATTCTGACAAACTGACACTGACATTTGAAATTTGGTCAACATTTGTTGTTTATAAGTAGCTTAGAAGCTATTTACTAAGATTAGTAGGTGTCAACTGTCATTACATTACAAGTGTTAAGAATTACTGGGTAACTAAATAATAGTTAACAACTAAGCATATTTATTTTTATTATTTTCTACATATATGTTTGTTTCTAGAGATTTTTATTCAAATTATGAATGACTTTTCACGCCATCTTTAATTCACCAATAGGATTTGTGCTATAGTTGACCAGACTCTCTTTTTACATTGACTTTAATATTTCAATTAATTAGTAACAACTATTTTTTATAATATTTGTTGTGGAAAGATTATAGTATGCAACTCGTTTATAAACTTTTCTAGACACTCATTTTTATTAAACACTCGTCCCGCAAGCTTCGGTCGTGTCTAATTGAAATTCGTGACTAAATGGCCTTTATCAAACTTGGTACACAATACACTATTATTAGAATATTATTTAAGTTTAAAAACATTGCTTAAAGACATTCATTTATAAAATAATAATATCTAATTGGCGAAAATTATCTTGTAGTGAAAGTTATTTCGTAAAACCTAAATCGTCCAATAAATTTTGGATGCATTCGCTGTATTGCTTCACCTAATTTAAAAACATTTTTTAAACTTTATCACAACCAATTATGCTGATGTTGCACATTTTGGGTTGATAGCAACAAATTTCGCAAAATAAACGATTTAGCCTGCTTGCTATGCGAATTATCATTAATTTATTTAATTAGGATTATGATTTTATTTTTTAAGATTTATATGCTGTTAATGGCATAAGACACGCGTGTGTAATTATTTAGTAATTGTTTCGTACGAATGTTTTTTTTAAACAATATTAATTCAATTGTGGAGCACCAGACCGTGTTAAAGTATTTTTATACACGAGGATCATCGATTAAAGCTTGAGAAAGTATTAGGTCACTAAATATCGGATCAATACTAATGCGAAACCTAATGTAAATACTATTAAAAGTTACTTAACGTAAACGCATGAAATTTCCTCGGTTTTGATTAAATACACATGCATGTACTAGTTGTGGTCATGTTACCCTACAATGCTTCTATTCTTCTTAATAATTTGATATCGTTTAGTAATCGAGATGCATCAAGACCTATTTGTTTGAAAAACAATGATAATAAAATAGCGTCTATAAGAAGATACGAGGTGTATATTTCGCGTATTATATCTATTTCAGGTCGAAATTCGATGACTCAAAAACTAAAACAAGTAGTAATAAGTAGGTGTTCTTCTTAGAACTGTTGTTAACACCATTTAATTTAAATATTAGTTATTTGCAATAATATTTCTCTCTGTTCTGGAGAACTATTCATGGATTTGACAATAATAATCAGGGGCGTATCCGTCGGGGGTACGTTTGTACTATGCAAAAAACAATTTGCCCTTTCATTAAAAAAAATTTGGCTCAAAAACTGCATTCCTCAGGGCCGGTTTATCAATGTCACAACGATCAATATGGAATTTAGATAAACTAACTGGAACTTAACCAGAGATTGATAAACCCTCCCTCAATCAAGTTTACCTACCTAAGAATGGTAGTCTTGTTTTAAATATTATTTTATTAATATTAATAATTAATATTAATTATTTTTTCAAAGCAAAGACTAAATATACTTTTTTTATATTTAATCTTTGTTCAAAGTTTGATTTTCTATGAAATTGATTTAATAATAGTAGATTATGTTATAAGGAGTAGAAGTGACTCTTTTTGTGGTGAGTACATAGATTGACGGCCGAAGCGTAGCTGAGGCAGGCAACTGTACGAAGCACAAAAAGAGCTTCTACTCTAAATAACATATATCTCTTCAAAGATAAAACATGAATAAAATCTTGGAATAAAAAATATATTTTTAGAAATCTTTCTCATTTTGCAAAAAATTTCGAACAATAAAGCCATTGAATACCAAATTAGCATATACCTGTTTCACACAGATGATGTAACTTATAATTTTGTTATTAGCCATTAATTTTATTGAATGTATGAATCATTTTCTCAAATAAATAAAATGTTTCTCGTTAAAAAGCGGAAATTCGCGTTTAACGTTTCATCTAAATCCATTGAACATTGGCCAATTTTAAAATATAAAAAAGATATTTGAATCAGAGCTTTTTGCCTTAAATAGTACATTATAGACCGGGCGGAGAAAGCTCATATTATACATTTCACTGCTGAATTGGGTGCATGCAAGGAAATTAATAAGCTTTAAAATATTTTTAATATTGATAAGAACATATATGTTTATTTAAATACTGAGGTTATAAATAGGTACCGATAACATGTTGAAATAATAATATTATAGTGAAGTTGCAAGTCCGGGAAGTGACAAGTAACAATTCTTCCAAAATAAATGTATATAAGGGTAAAATACCCATTCTGTAATATTTAAATTAATTTGGTTGGTTCAAAACAGAACTGTTCACTCTTTTCCCAGACACCATGAACAAACTATATTTATTTCAATCCCAATTAATACATGCACTTAACCCAAATTCAAACTAGATTTAGTTGCACCAGACCATCGTTATAAATTTTCAATTTCTTAATATTTGGCACATTAAAATTGGCAAACGCGCAGACATTTTTGCATTTTATTAATATCAGATTTAATGGACTCATTCTGTCGATTAACATACTAATACGCGTGTAAAACAGCATGCTGAAGTTGCAGCTACATGAAACGTTCGAAACTAACGTATTTCGTTTATTTTTTTTAGTGGAGAGTTTGATATACTGGCGCGAGCCCAAAAAGTCCGGTCCAGTTTTCGGCGGAGTTTTGCTAGTGTTGCTCTGCCTCACCTACTTCTCCCTCATCAGCGTTATAGCGTACGTCTCGCTGTTGGGATTGTCCGGCACAATCGCCTTCAGAATCTACAAAAACATTGTCCAAGCAGTGCAGAAAACTGGAGACGGCCATCCCTTCAAGTAAGTACAAAAGTCATAATTTTTCTAATACATTTATTTAATCTAAGCATTTTTTTTTACTGGATATCCATTTTATTTAACAATGGAATGGCCAGCATGTTCACCAGACCTAAATTGCAACCAAACCAGCAATACAAAAACTTCAACTTCAATGTACTTAAATTTTTTTATATTAAATGTTTACGCTGACAATTTTAATATTCTTCTAATATCCACTTTAATTGTTGAGCAGTGTATATTAGGGTGGCCCAAAAAAATAAGAATATTTTTTTTCTCTTGTCTCTTGTGAAAATATGATGATTTGTCATGTTTTAAGAGCCCTGTCAACAGATCAGCTCCATTAAAAATTTTTTAGGGGTCGCTCAAGATTTTTAAAAATTTCCAAAATCGTCAAAAATTGGATTTTTTTTTATTTTAATTTTTTTTCTCGTTCCGATATTATTTTTTAATTTAAAAATAATAATGATTCTGAACATTTCAAATGGATATTTTGATTTCTAAAGGTCGCTCAAGATTTTTTTAACTTTCAAAGTAGAGTATTTTGAATGTTTTCGAGCGACCTCTGAATATAAATAGTATTTATATTCAGAAATACCATCGAACTTTTAGCAACCTTTAGAAATTAAAATATTGATTTGATATTTTCAAAATTTTTATTATTTTCTACCAAAAAAATAATATCGAGACAAGAAAAAAAATTAAAATAAAACAAAAATTCAATTTTTGACGATTTTGAAAATTTTAAAAAATCTTGAGCGACCCCTAAAAATTTTTTAATCGAGCTGATATTTTGACAGGGCTCTTACAGCATGATAAACTAACATATTTTTACAAGAGACGAGAAAAAAAAAGATATTCTTTTTTTTGGGCCACCCTAGTGTATATAGAATATAAAAAGACTTTATATTTGTAGGCAGTTCAAAAGTATTATACACGATTTTTTTTTATTTCGGAATTTGATAACGTCAAGAATTTGGGGGTTTAATTGGCAAATTCTAGGGACCCTAAATTTATAATTGGCCACATTGAGTAAAACATAGTAATTTAGCGGAAATAAATAATAAATAAATTAATTATTTAATCAAAATGTTGTTTTGTTTTAAAAATTTCTTTTCGTTTAGAATTTTCTGTTATATTTGGCATTGTTTATTATAATTCTAACAATTAAATGATAAATGTCAAAGTAAAATTAAGGGATTGAACAGGAGTAGGTACCAATTTTAAATATTAAAAATACCAAAGTAGGTATATTTAGAGAACCTTGGTTAAAGGGTCTTTACCTTAAGTTCTTTTTTTTATCTGAACTGCGGCAACGTTGCGAATTTAGGGTTTTGGTTGGTAAATACATATGTCAAGTTGGTCGCATTGATTAAAACAAACTAAGCTAATAAATCTAATTGTGGTTATGTATAAATTATTGTAGGTTACATTGTGCAGTTGTCAAGTTGAGTTGTCGAAATTCGTAGTTAAAAATGCAATTAATTTGGCTTTGGAGGTGCTTGGATGAGTAAAATCATATAAAAAAAAGTAGTTAAATATAGGTTGCTTTACGGCCCAGAAGAGAAAGTATTCCTAGCGGATAATAATCTTCGCTTTGAAAAGAATTTGTATAAAAGAAATTAAAATTTTTTGTGAACGTAAATGTTGTCCAATGGTGAATAATGTAAAAATAATGTGTGATGTAATATTTATAAAACCAAATTCGTTACTTTTTTACTCCAAAAATGTCCATAAGGCGACGTACTTTTTTTTCAATTGTGGCATCAAAATGAAGTTTTGCCCTCAAAAGGGCTTTTACATTCGAATTCGTTGCTATTATTTTTGGCATAATTATCTTTTTATTTACAAGTAAATTATCAATAATAAATATTATGGTCAATTTGACAGTGTCAAAGTATTTAATTAAATTCTTTAGCAGAAGTACCATTTTTAAATACTCAAAATACCAAGTCAAACTAGCATAAGCCACCAACCTAACAAAAAAACACGAGCCCAGATAAAAAAAATTAACTGTAGATACCCTTTAACCAACATATATTGATATAAAGTACCAACAATACTAGAATAATGAAAATACATTAGCCCGAAATCAGTTTAGGTAACTGTAAAATTACAGGTCTCTGGAGAATAAATTCCCGCACATAACCTCAAAAATTCAAATAAAGTATATCAAACAGTATACACATTTTAAAAATTTTATGTTAAAATCTTGCTAGTTGAAGAAAATCTTGCAACCATTTCATTGTATAATACCAAAGTAACTAGTATTTTAAGTAAAATCTAAGTAAACTTACCAAAATCCAATAAGTAAAATAACGATTCAACCATTGACATTTTTAAAGGTATTTTGATTTTAAAATAATCCTTTAAATTTACCATCTGGTTGCTCTTACCTTAAGGTTATTTTTTAGCAAAACTAAATACAATTAAATTAAAACCTATTGGATATATTACTTACAAGTTAAATATTTGTTTTTTTATTGTCAATTAAAACTCCTCAAATAACCCAAATTTACCTCAGTTAAAAAGAAGTTACGTTAACGTTATATTTACTTTTAATTTTAACCAACGAAAATGGTTTGGAGTACTTATTTTTTTTGATATATTTTGGTTTAATTATAACTTTCGATATAACTTTTTGTTTAATTGGTAATCCGCCATTTTAGTTATTGTCCATTTTAACAAAAATTAATTTTTATTATTTTTATCTTCAGCGAAATAGAGACTAAAAAATGTTTTTTTATTTTTAATTCTAATTTTCAAAGCGTGTTTAAAATATGGAATTATTATGTACCACTTTTTCAAAAAAGTTATCATTAAGATTTTCATTTCAGATACGATATTTTATTTTAAAGATCTGTAAACAAGTCATATTGATAACCATACCATACCACTTGGTTAAAATAAACTTAAACCAGTTTTTAAGTTAACTGAAGAGTTAAAAAAGTGTTAAAGACAAAGAAGTTAACTTAAAACAAAGAAGTTAACTTAAACGAATATTTTTGCAGAGATCTTTTGGACGTCGACATCTCGTTGTCGCACGACAAAATCAAGGAATTATCGGAGGTGGTGGTAGTGCACTTGAACGCCAGCGTTTCCGAGTTGCGCAGGCTGTTTCTTGTTGAAGATCTGGTCGACTCCATCAAATTCGGAGTGCTCTTGTGGGCGCTCACCTACTTGGGAGCGTGGTTCAACGGCATGACTCTCATCATCATCGGTAAGCACTACATCAAGAATTATTAATCTACAAGTGCGATTTTTCAACGGTCGTTTCGAGATTACGAGGTTTTTCTTTCCGTTACAGCTTGGGTCGCATTGTTCTCACTCCCCAAAGTATATGAAACCAACAAGACAAACATCGATGCCAACCTGGACATCGTCAGAACAAAGGTGGCCGAAATCACATCAAAGTAAGTGCAAATATGTACTCAGTTTATCTTTAAATTTGCCCAATAATCGCGCTGTTATACGGCGACTGTATACGTAATTCACATAAAAATATGATATCATTTGCCAAAAAGAAAAAAGGAGGTAATTACAAGACCGCGGTCCATAACAAAATATATGTTGTTGAAGTAATGGAATGCGTAAGTGGTTCAGGCACCTGAGCACAATTCCGCGCGCGCGCAGTTTTAAGTAGATATGGGAGAATGGAATAAAATCCATTTTAAAGAAAATGATTTTATCTGAGAATCGTATGCGTAGATTCCAAATATGCAATAAAAAATTGCATAATCCCAACTAGGGTTTTAAAATGTCGAAAAAAAACTGAAAAATTGTTTTTTTTTTCAAGCGGCCATGATATACAACCTTATATGCATGTATAGAGATAGTTGAAGTGCGTCTTTTTCATTAGCGGCAGACAAAAAACTCAAAAAAGCCTAGGGATAGAAGTAAATCCATAGGTGACTCAATAAACGTCAAATACTAAAATTAATTTAGCATTTCATACAAAGCAATCACGATGTATTAATTATATTAATTATAATCGCACGGAATATTTAGTGATTATTTATTAAATTTTAATTGAACGAAATAAAGAAAAACTAGTTTATTAGTATAATATTATGATGATAGACGAGTCGCCAATGTCGAAACTTCAAACAAATGTCATTACGTCAAAATTAATTCAAGCGCAGCATTTTGACAGAGCAGTGTTTAGGTTTAGTTTCGGATATTTATCGGCATTGTAAGTAAGGTTTATTAGTTTTTTTAGTTTTTATCAATAATTTCTAATGCTTTTAGCCAAAATTTTATCCCACACGAGTTATGAGTAAATAAAATAATTCTATTGCTTATCCTATTTATATTATGCCCTTGAAAAAAAAATTGTATATGTTATTTGGAGTAGAAGCTCTTTTTGTGCTTCGTACAGTTGCCTGCCTCAGCTACGCTTCGGCCGTCAATCTATGTACTCACCACATAAAGATTCACTTCTACTCCTTATAACATAATCTACTATTTTTTCGTTTTTTCCCAGGCCTTGGATAAATTGTCTTTTTTTTGAAAATATACGAAGCAATCAACAACTTAACTTTATTTTAATTTAAAAAAAGGAATAAAACTATACTATACTATAATTAAATTATTAGAGATTGTTACATTCACTTAACTTTTTATTATATTATACTTGTTACGGACCTTTGGTCTTTTTGGGTAAATAAATAAATAAAAAACTGAATTGATAAAAAAATATAAACGTACCTAAACGTTAAATATACTGTCGGTTGAATACTTTTTGCAAAAGGAATTCCATTGAAAATATCCATTTATAAATTAATGAATTAAGTTAATTTATAATTTTTTTAATCAATAGGTATTATTTCGCTGGTTAGGTGCAAGACTATCCTAAGTCCATTTTCAAAGAGTTAAACATTCCTATTTATTGTAACTAAATTGTTTTTTTGCGTCATTCTTTTAAAAATTGTAAGGTTTTACAAGAATGACGCAAAAAACAATTTAGTTACAATAAATAGAAATGTTTATTGTATTTTTCTCCAATTCTTTGAAAATGGACTTAGGATAGTCTTGCACCAAACCAGCGATTTGCCTTTTTGCGGCCCGGTAAAAGATTCTTACTGAATTATAAATAATAGGAAGAATTATTATAATTATGTATTATATTATTATAATCAGAGTCGAAAATTTACATTTTCTTGATATCAAATTAAAAAATTAACTTTTTATTTTTTTTCGTATTAGCCTTTGAATAAAATGGAAAAATGTATGTCAATTTTATTGAAAATTTCCCACTTTCTGTTTTTTTTTCGGTAAAACCCGTTTTTTTTTCGCCGTCTCAATTATTTCGTAAATTTTAAAACCCTAATTCTGACCCCTTTTAAATATTCGTTTAAAACTTATAGAATCTCTTAATACAATTGGTATACTTTTTATTTTGCTTTCCATGGAAGTGCACTTACATCCAAATTAAAGCTAATCAAAACAAATAAATAATTTGGTAAAGAAAATCAAAAGAAAGGAGTATGGATTTTTTTTTGAAAATATAAAATATGGAATATTATGAAACTGCATAAACATTATATAAGGGCTTTAGACGCTAAGGGATACAAGTGACATTTAAAAAAAAATTTAGTTGTACAGAAAAAGATAGTAAATGGTACATTTTAGTTGGCATCCAAGGGATATTCTAGCTTAGACATCTTGAATAACAAAGTAATAAAAGAACAAACAATTTTGACGTGTTTTTTTTCTTTAAACATTAGCTTGGCTTCATGGACTAGTGGTACCAGTTGGTAAACAAATTTGCTGGCTGTATTTGTAAAATGTAAAGTAAATAAATAAAATAAATATTAAATATTTTAAAACATATTCACGTTTTAAAAATTTAATAAATTATCATAAATATAATTTTTTATTATTGGTTTTTTATGTGGATTATGTATAAAGTGGCTTAAATTTTGACTAACCCTGAATAATATTATTTTTTTTCATCTTTTTAAGATTTTAATAAAATTTGTTGGCACACATACGGATTTATATTTAATATTGGAATCACTTTTGGTATATTTTGTACATTTTATTTAATATTGTATATTTTTTTAAATTGAATAAATATTTTGTGAGAATTAAAATTGACTATTTTGTATTTTTTTTGTTTTAGAGTAAAAGCAGCCATCCCAATTGGCAAGAAAGCTGAAGAAAAGAAAGAACAGTAGACATTTGTTTTAAAAATCATCTTCCACGTCATGAAACCTATGATTTTTCCATAATTCCATCCTAAAGATCGATTTTTACTTGTGTTATTAATTAAATATTTTGTATATATATGATATTTTAATCGATGTATTTATTCAAATTGCTTGAATATTTGTTGGTTATTGTCTCATAAATGTAATACATAAGTTTTATCAATGCAAAAAACTTTTTATTTAACTTAAATTATGTATTACGAATGTTCTATTTATAAGAATACAATTAAAAAAATAATTTTACGATTTTGTTTTATTTCTTTGTTTTTTCATGATAAGGGATTAATTTTTAAAAGTTGTATGGCTATATTAATCTTCTAGATATTAAGAACTAATTTAGAAACCTTAAATATTCTTCACTGTATGTGTATAAATTTTAAAAATAATTAATTTTTTACTTGTATCGAGATATTTTATAATATAGATATGTGTTGTTTTCATTGTGATGCTATTAGTAAGGGTGAGCACGCAATTTTGCTGAATAGCAAACAAATTTATATTTGACTGTTATGTTTTAAAATCAGTTTAATAATAATATGAATATATAAGATGTGTATAGGACTGATTATGAATTTATTTTTTAGGCTTTACGACATAATCTACAAATTCATTCAGACATTTGACACCAAACAGTCCCAAACCATTTTGGGACTTGCAATAGATTGTAGATTAATGTCGTGAAAAATATTGTTAATTATTAATTTCGAATCTCTATTAACTTCAGAGAAAATGTGAGTAATGCCGTACTACACTACTATACATTTGTGTAAGTCTTAACTACGATTATATATCATAAGAAGACCAAACTATTTATATTCATTAAATTATATTTTTTTCATTTTAGGCAGGCAAATATAAAGTTTTTACTTTGTTTCTGTATAAATTGTTTTTATCCTCCATATTATTTAGGTATAATATTATCTTGTAAATTAATTTGTAAGTGCCAAGGTGAAGTTCTTTTAGACTGTTGCATACTTTTATATAGCTTTCTTTGTATTTGCTTTAACAATATTAAAATTACATTGTTTATATCTGCTTAATGTGTGTTTTATTTTTTTACTTACCTTTATTTAATAGTTCAATTATTTAAATAATATAAAAATTCTTTAAGCATTTTAAGAATTTAGAAAATATTTAATAAAAATAGCATTTTGTTAATTAATTTTACCATTTCGCTGAAAACCACAAATATAAAATTAAGGAATTGGATTTAAGTAAATAAAATTCCCTCTTTATTTATTTAGATTTATTAGGTATAACATTGTATTTAACATCAAATACATACATACAGACATTTCTTCTACAATATAATATTGTTATGCTGCAGAAAGAAGTTTTTTAAGCGGTAATTAAAACTAAACCAGAATTACCCAAGTGCACTACCAGTAATATAATCTATATTGCAAATAATCACATAAATAAAATCACGTAATCATGATAAATTTGGTCATAAATTCTCTAATATTTATCACTAATATGTTCAGCTGTTGAACGGTTTTTAACAGTTGCAGCTGAGATATAATATTTATATTATAAATAAGACCTTTTATATATATTTTTAAACACTTATATTTGAAAAGTGTACACTTGAAAATTTCCTAATTAAAATTTAGTACAATAGAATACAAATTATACAAAAATTCTCAGTACTCTTTAAATAGTTTTTTATTCTAGAAAAATAACACCTTGTTTATTTATCCTCATCTCTTTTAGATATATGCTTTACAAATGCTTAAGATATACCTGACACTAAGCCAAAATGTAAGCGCAAAAATTTGAGAATTTTTTTATAACTTTATTTACCTACAATAATAAATATTCAAAATAAAAAATATCCTATCCTTCACCTATCAAATAAGTTTTCTTCTCGATTTTTTTTATCATATTTGGCCAGTAGTACTTGAACCGTTCAGCTACAGTTTCATGAAAGTCATATACCTAAACCCATAAAGTAAATAAACGCAGTATTTACGCACGCGGCGATTTTCAAGAGCAACACAACTATCAGATCCACGTTTTCCTAAAGAATTAAGATGGGCGGACTTTTTACACTTACCGGGCTCATAGTTGAATCACTTGAGAAAAAAACACCAGTGTACTTCTAAAGAACGTTAATTTAATTTGCGAAATGATGGTGGTGAGAGATGTCGGTTTAGTTCAAGTGGAATCCCTTTTCCTTGGTGGCCGCCAAGAGTCTCTGCCTGAGTATGTCCTCGGTGGGGTAGTCGGGCAGCTTCAGGTAGTGCACGCAAGTGTTCACGGAGGGATAGGAGCCCTCGCCCGCGTCCACCTTGCGCACGATCGTGAGGCGCGGGTAGAGGTTGGCGAGGCCGCCCGGCGGCAGCGAACTGCAACCGGTGGTGAATTGCAGGAAGGCCTTCCTCTCCTCGGGAGACATGCCCACCAGCACGTTCACGAACCTCAGGAAACCAGGACTGAAAGAGAATTAAATAAATGGATACGGTTGCGCAAAAAATGAATGCATGATTTTTTGCTTTCCAAGGTTGTTATGATTTATATCGAATGAATTTTAAACCGTATTTCACTGATTTTCTAAAAATCTCAAAACTATAAACTTCAAGCTTCAAATTGCTTTTTTTACGGCTCCAATACGACCATTTTTAACGAAGCTATCCGAAAAATCGCAAAAAATTTGGAATTTTTTTTCATCCTTTAATTTTTTCTATTAATGTAGAATTTTCACTTTATTATTATTATAAATTTTACTCAAAATTTCATTTTGAAAAATTACTCCATTTTTTAATATTGATGTTATTTATTGACAGAATATGCTTTATTGTAGCGGATTTGCAAGAAAAACAATAAAAGTTTTTTATATATTTTCTTCACATCTGAAAAAAACCGTTTTTTTACATCTCTATTCTTACCCCTTCAATTATTGTAAAACCAAGTTAAATTTGGAATAATACGAAGAATAAAATTTTTGACATTGAAATAAAGTTTTTGTGACTAACCTGTCCCAGGACTGAAAGGGAATTAAATAAATAGCCGCGTTGGAACCGCAAAAAATGAATGCATGATTTTTTGCTTTCCAAGGTTGTTATGATTTAAATCGAATGATTTAAAAATTTTAAACCGTAATTCACTGATTTTTTAAAAATCTCAAAACTAGAAACTTCAAATTGCTTTTTTTACGGCTCCAATACGACCATTTTTAACGAAGATACAGCTATCCGAAAAATCGCAAAAAATTTGGAATTTTTTTTATCCTTTAATTTTTTCTATTAATGTAGAATTTTCACTTTATTATTATTATTCATTTTACTCAAAATTTCTTTTTGAAAAATTACTCCATTTTTGAAGATTGATGTTATTTATTGTCAGAATATGCTTAAAGCATAGGGCTCCCACGGCTAAATTACAAATTTTATTTAGGAATTTAGGTGGTTTTTTGTAAAATTTTAGGAGAAATAAAGTATGGAAATGAATTTCTTTAATTAAATAAAAACATCTCTTTACTACTTAAAAAATAAGTTATATTAACTAGTTTTTTAGCCAAATTGCTCGACGAGTTTTTTTTAAATAAAATTAAAAGTGAGGTAAAATTACTACTTTTGTATATATCTGACGTACATAATATGTATATGTATATTATATATATTATATATACAAGTATATATATTTAAGTATACATATATATAGTATATATACAAGTATAAATTTCACCACACTTTTAATTTTATTTAAAAAAATGCGTCGGTAGATTTGGTTAATGCCAAAATCAAATGATGTTATCTATATATTTTAAGAAAAAATATGTCAACTGTTTAGTTAATAATTAATAGTAATTAAATCGATAAGGTTAAGTCCAAAAGTAAACTTTTTGATAAAATATTTCAAAAAATCAGTTTTATAGTTCTAAATGCATTTTTGTTAGAATATTTTAATTATTTTATGAAATATAATATTTATATTCTGTAAAATAATTTATATCTTTTAACAAAAATGTATTTTAAACTTTAAAATTGATTTTAGAAAATAAATTGTCAAAATTAAATTTTTGGACTTGTACTGTTTTTATTCTCACCGATTCAATTGTAATGTGGATCTTAATACTTAAAAATCTCATAACAAAATATGAAGTTTACTAAAAAACGAAATATCGCTAAAAATGACAATTTTGTAGAAGTTTTTATGTTGTTTTTTAAGAAAAATTTTAGTTGTGATATTATATCATTTTAAAAAGAATTTAATAAAATAGAACCTAAATATATATATATTTTTAAATTACTTTTTTAAAAAGAATTTTTTTAGCACTACCTTAATTTAATGCAGTCAGGTTGGCCTATTTAAATTTAATTTTTAGGATTTTAGGAGTTTTAGGAGGTTGAAGGCAATTTTAGGAGTTTTCAAGATTTAAGCAAAATTTTAGGAGGTGTGGGAGCCCTAAAGCAGCTTTATTGTAGCGGATTTAAAAAAAAACAACAAAGTTTTTTTTCACATTTGAAAAAACCGTTTTTTACATCTGTATTCTTACCCCTTCAATTATTGTAAAACCAAATTAACTTTGCGATGAAATTTTTAGTGAAATTCGAAGAAAAAAAAAAAAAAGTTTTTGCGACTAACCTGTCCTTGGTGTATCCCAACTTGGGTTCGGTGTAGCTAATGAGATCTTCCCTTGTCCATTCGGGATTCTGGTCGCCGCAAAGCATCACGCCCATCTCGTCCGGACTGAACGCGGCCAGCTTTTCCATGGGAAAAACGGCGCTGAAGCCTTTGTGGAACGCCTCGAGCTGCCTCGAGACGCCCTTGTCGAGACAGAAGGTCGCAGTCAGCTCGGCGTACTCCTCGACGTTCTCGATGTTCACCTCGATGTCCGCGCCGTTCGGAACCAGTTCCACCGCCGAAAAACCGTACACGCTCGAGCTCGGCGAGTACGTGAACGTCAGCGCCAGATCTTCCAACAAAACCGGACCTAAAACGTACAAACAGAAAGTTGTACGCAGTTTTAGGCAAAGTCATTTATTTTGGGACACTGACCGACATAATTAAATGTTTTGTTTGCAACTTCTCCAGAGTAATTTAGGTGCGCTGATACCCTTAATTAGCATTAGCATTTAGTTTCGAGATATTGTAAAAAAAAACGTTTGAAAACATTCATATTACGCTGGTTTGATGCAAGACTATCCTATGTCCATTTTCAAAGAATTGGAGAAAAACACTATTAAACATTTCTATTTATTGTAAATAAATTGTTTTTTGCGTCATTCTTTTAAAAATTGAAAGGTTTTACATCCAAAGATTAATAAATAAATACATATTATGCAAAAATCAATTTAGTTACCTACAATAAATAGAAATGTTTAATAGTGTTTTCCAGTTCTTTGAAAATGGACTTAGGGTAGTCTTGCACCAAACCAGCGATACAGTTTTCAAGTTGGTCGCATTTATTACAACAAACTAGTTATAAATCTAATTGTGGTTATATATAAATTATTGTAGGTTACATTGTGCAGTTGTCAAGTTGAGTTGTCGAAATTCGTAGTTAAAAATGCAATTAATTTGGCTTTGGTGGTGCTTGGAAAATCATATAAAAAAGTAGTTAAATATAGGTTGCTTTACGGCCCAAAAGAGAAAGTATTCCTAGCGGATAATCTTCGCTTTGAAAAGAATTTATACAAAAGAAATAAAAAATTTTTGTGAACGTAAATGTTGCCCAATGGTGAATAATATGAAAATAATGTGTGATGTAATATTTATTAAATCAAATTCGTTACTTTTCTACTCCAAAAATGTCCATAAGGCGATGTACTTTTTCTTCCATTGTGGCATTTGGCATAATTTCATCAAAATAAAACTTCATTCGAATTCGTTGCTATTATTTTTGGCATAATTATCTTTTTATTTATAATTGACAAGTAAATTATCAATAATAAATATTATTGTCAATTTGACAGGGTCAAAGTATTTAAATAAATTCTTTAGCAAAAGTACCATTTTTAAATACTAAAAATACTACTTTCTATCTGGCAAAAAGTTTTCCATTCTTTTCTACCCTTTGAAAAACATTTTTGAAATTTTTTTTATCCAACCCCAAAAAAGTTTTAAATTTTTCAAAAAAATAGGTTTTTTATTTTCAAATGGCCATAAATTATTTAGAAATTTACATTTTGGTATCTTTTTTTTTTAAATTTTTGTTTTTAAATGAATTTTTCGAAAAAATAGACAAATATTTTTACATAATCAACTCTATGAAATTATTGCTTTTTTTTAATAAAATCGTTATTTATGCGAAGTTCGCAATTTTTTATTAAAAAAAAACTTTAATTAATGTTACAATTATTCCCGCCAATCCCAGAGTGGGCCGATTTTTTTAATTTTAATTTTTTTAATTTTATTTAATTGAAAAAAATATTTTCAAAAATAATATTTTTGTTATTTTCACAAACTTTATTTATATGCTTAATAAAATAAATGCAATTCAACGATTTTAAGGCTGACTAGGATTAATGATTATTAAAGTTAAAAAAAAATTGCATTTTTGAAAATTAGACTTCAATTAAATAAAAAAAAAATTGAAAAAAAAATCTGCGTACTATGGGATTTGCGGGAATAATTGAAGTTTTTTTTGAGAAAAAAAAATAAAAAGGTGTGGATGGGACAAAAAAAGATTTATCTTGTCAATTATTAAAATTATCTCTACTTTTATAAAATATTTCTTGCGTTTTTTTTTTATTTAATGTATAGCCTAATAAAAGAAGAATATTTTTGACAATTTTGATGCCAAAATATTAAATATTAAATTACCTACCATTTTTTTTATAATAACAGTTTTTTGATTTGAAATGGCCCATTGTCAAATTTTTACTAAAAAAATAATTTTATTCCGATAAAAATAGGAGTAACTTTATAAATGTGTTTAATTAGGACCCATAGCTTCATGACCAATGATCCTTGTTAAAAATATTTGATTAAAAAATATTTATACGAATTTCAATGTTTGCATATTGGAAAAAACGTTTTTTACAATATCTTTACAAAAATAAAGATTATAAAAATTGGAATGGGAAAGTAAGCAAATAAAAAGAAGACGTTCTTACCTGAGGAGTGATTCAAACAGAGGTTCTGTATCTGATGGGCCTTCGACTCCTGCGACAAATTGTGATCCTGCATGATCTTCTGCTTCTGCTTGACCAGCTCCTTGATTTGCTTGAGGAAGCCGGCCCTGATGGGATCGATGTCGTACAAGTCTTCCTCGCCGAGGATGCCGTGATACCAAGGCTTCTTATCCTCGACGTTCGACTTGGGCGGATCGAACTCCAACTCCTTCTCGCTCTCCTCGGATATCAAGCTCGAGGTCATCAGGTCGTCGTCGAAGTTCTTCTTCACGCCGGCGAAGCCGATGCGCTCGTTGACGGTGTTCTGGATGTCGCCGTGGCACATCAGCTTCATGAAGCTCTTCGACAGCGGCAAGTCGACGAGACGGTTGTCCTGCAGGATTTTGGCCAGGAACACGCCCAGGAACCAGAAGTACCTGGCGGCCTTGTCGCAAACGTCCGAGTTTTGCGGGAGGGGCGACGGGAACAGGCCGGCCACGCGGCGCACGTAGTAGCCGGGCGGCTTGGCGCCCTCGCCCAAGTCTATTGACTCTCTTAAATCTAAAAGAAATCGTACAATACGCTACAGAAGTCGAATTTCTCCGCAGTTTTCACAAGGGTTAAGAAATTGCTTAAATTTGTTGAAATAATAAAACCATTAACAGCGTTAAGATAAATAAAATCTTAATAGTATTAGTATAGTATCTTATAGTATTTACAGATTGTCAACATAAAAATAGTTGTTTCAAATATTTATACGAGCCCTAACCACCTAATGTTCGGACACTTCATAATTTATACAGAAATTTTTTTCGTGAATACTATCTCAAAATTATTAGAAGTTATGAAAAATTCAGCTTATTTTGGCATATACCCCTCGAAGCGATTTTTATTTTTAAAAAGTTTACCTTTTATTTTTAGCTTTTAAAAAAAGGCTAACTTTTTAACTTTTTTTTGTATGAGTAAAAAAAGTTATAAATGGACCCATTAAAAAGAGCATAAAATATTATACAAACCCTGAAAATTTGGTAAAAAATAAATAAGTTATAAAAAAGTATAAGTAATTTAAAAATGCTATTTTTAAAGAGTTTTTGCAATTTTCTTAGGAAACGGGAGATTTTGCAGATATATATATCGCTATAACTTTCTTATTATTTATACAATTTTTACCAAATTTTCAGGGTTTGTATAATATTTTATGTTCTTTTTAATGGGCCCATTTATAACTTTTTTTACTCATGCAAAAAAAAGTTAAAAAGTTAGCCTTTTTTTAAAAGCTAAAAATAAAAGGTAAACTTTTTAAAAATAAAAATCGCTTCGAGGGGTATATGCCAAAATAAGCTGAATTTTTCATAACTTCTAATAATTTTGAGATAGTATTCACGAAAAAAATTTCTGTATAAATTATGAAGTGTCCGAACATTATGTGGTTAGGGCTCGTATACTTAAAAAAAAATAATATTTAAGTAAACATTTTAAATTGTTTAAAATTAGATACTCAAGTTAATTGTTTAAAAAGTTTTAAACTAAAAACAAAGTGTAAAATAGTATTGTTTTGACATTTCTAATATTCTCAATAAAATGTGTCTTACTTTTTTGAACTAATAAACAAAAGTAACACTGTAAACTGTTTAATAAATAAAACATTTCAATTCTTGGAAGAAACGCTTGTTAAAGATTGTGGTAACCAACGGTTTATTTTTAAACCAAGTAACAAAATTTTTAAATTTTAAGCCAATTAAAATGCTGATTACACAATGTTGCCCATATAAATTGCTTAAGTTTTTGTTTTTGGAAAATAAGGCATATTCATTTTAAGTAAAAACATATTGAATGTATTTAAGTAACGAAAATATTTAATTTGACACAATTTTTTTTGAATTAAAACTCCATTTCTCTGAGTGAGCTTAAGTCGGTTTCATATAGATATAAATGCGATAGTTTAGGGACATTGTTTTCTCACTAGGCAATATAAAGTGATTATAAATGTAAAATAAGAAACATTAATGTACCTCAAAAAACTTTTTCCACTATAAAAAACCAAAAAAACATAAATATTATTTATGTGTTTTTTTGTTTTTTTTTATAATGGAAAAAGTTTTTTAATTTATTAATTAAATAGGTAACTAGTATCTACAAATGCTGTGTAAATTGTCATAAATGACAGATAACAGATTTCAGTTTATTTTGTTTCATATGGCACATTTCTAACATTTGCCTTAGATCATTTCAAGACAAAAAAGTGAGTGAGGCCTATTTTTTTACATTGTGGTATTTAACCTGTTAATACATAAAAGCCTTCTAAAAATCGACTTTACTTGAGACTTTTACAGTCTTTCTTGTTTAAACATTTTTTTTTAATAAACAAGACAATACTGCTTGTGCGCATAATTTAAAATAAGCAATAAGAAAATTGCATGTCCCAACCCCATTACACAAAACTTTAATTTAATGTGTAGTTTACAATTATCTGGTTTTAAATAATTTAATGTCAGGGCAGTTTTTAATTGACTTTTTTTCGATTTTTGACAGTTTTTAATTACCCAAAACATTAATTTTAATGTGCAGTTTTTAATTAAAAAATTAGTTAATATTTCATATTTTACTTGACTTATTAGGGGACATCATCTATTAATCTAGCAAAATCTCACCAAATCTCATGTTAAGGTCATTAAAAATCTCACTTCAACTTTTGGGTTTAAAAATTATGTACCTATTATAATTCAAATTTTTCAAAAAAAAATAATCAACTTTTATTTTTTAAGTTTATCATGTTGTCCGCAAAGAAAGTTTAATGGCTAGAATTTCACGCGAGGCAGAGGGGTCCAAATTATCAGAAAAAAGTTTAAAATTGGAAAAGGGTATATTATTATTATTTGTGTCTTACCTATGTTATCGTCTTCGCATATCCACATGGCCAAGTCTCGTCGCTGGACTTCGGCCGCGACCAGGGCGTAAAACTCCAAGGTGGGTCCGAGTCCGGTGCCCTCTTCGCCGGCAAACTCCACCTCCAAGATGGACTTGCGATTGGCGTGGATCTTCATCACCTGCACGGCCCAGTCGAGCAGCTCGCCGCCGCGCGGCACCTTCACCCGCTCGTGCTTCAGCCTTCCGACCCTGAACTCGTGCGGGTCGTCCCTCCTCGGCGACAGACCCGGCATCCTCTGCCGCTCCATCGTGACGTCGCGCTGCGTCTGCAGCCACACGATGCTCCGCGACGCGCCGAACGCCGTGCAGTTGAAGTACAGCTGCCGCGTCTCGAACGGGAACAGAAACGGACACGAGTGGTTCAACTCCTCGCACCAGGCCGGCAAGCTCGAGCTGGACAGCACCAGCGGATCCTGGATCTGCTGCAGGATCTTGTTGGTGATCTTCTTGCTCGAGAACTGATCGGGCACTATTTCGCCGCCGCCCTCCAACGAGCTCAAATCGCTTTCTTTCGTCGTCGTTATCACGAACAGGTGCCGCAAGAGCTGCAAAACGTCTTCGACGGTGCAGTTCGAGACCGAGGGCGTTCCGGGCACCGGAGTGCTGGGCGACAACGTCGTGCCCGCCACGGAACTACTACCGCTCCTCGAGTACTGCTCGTCATCATTGGCCTCTCTGTAGATTATCATGTAGGTGGGCTCCCATATCCTGCGCAGCTTCTCCTGCTTCGAGCCGAACTCGGTGCTTTGCATCAGTTCCTGCACGGCGCGGAATATCGTCCACGACGGGTCGTTCAGTTCGATTTCCACGTCGGCCACGCCGGCCATGTTCGGCCCCTTCAGCACTAGCTGCAGTTTCGGCTGAGGTAGCAGTTCGTGTTCGGCGCAGCCGCTGCTTTCTTCCTGTCCCGGCACTGGCACCTCAAGATCTAACAAAAAGAGTACGCTGCGCGTCAAAATTAACGCACAACAAGTAAGGTTGCATGTTTTCATGAAAAGTTGAAATTTTTGAAAAGTTCGGAAAAGTTGAGTTTTTTGTAATGTAAACGTATTAAACATAAATAATGCTTGTCAATGTATTAAAATAATTTATTTCTTATGTATTTATACATACATTGTTTTATAACAAAATAACAAAAAAAATAACAAAATACGTGACCCAAATATTCTTATTAGATAAATTTTTTGCAATTTAAATAGGTTATAATAAAACAATCTTTATAATAATGCTGTTAGCAGACACCATTTTTGATAAAGTTTGACAGAATATTATTCCAAAAAACAATGATTTTAGCACGTTTTACTAAAAACACTTCAAATCTAGCGATTTATATCGAATTTTGACCAAAGTATCTAAAATTTATGGTAGTGGAAACACTGGTTAGAAATCCACTTATTGTTCATAACTTTTCCAACTTTTCATAGGGGGTGCCAAACTTTTTCAACTTTTCGACCGAACTTTTCCTTGTTTGCAACACTAATAATAAGTAGGGTTTTAAAGTGTCGGAGAAAAACCGGAAAAATTGGGAAAACCTGTTTTTTTTTCGTTTTTTTCCCTTGCCTTGGAAAAATTGGCTTTTTTGGGAAAAATTGAATTTATTTTTTGAAAAATATACACATTTGAAAAAAGTAGTACTCAACAACAACATTATTTTAAATTTTAAAAAATCCTTTAGCCGGAAAAAACCGGAAAAATTGTTGGAAAACCTGTTTTTTTTTTCGTTTTTTCCCAGGCCTTGGAAAAGTTGTCTTTTTTGAGAAAAATTGAATTTTTTTTTTGGAAAATATACACATTTGAAAAAAAGTACTAGTCAAAAACTTACACATTTGAAAAAAGTAGTACTCAACAACAACATTATTTTAAATTTTAAAAAATACCTTAGTCGGAAAAAAACCGGAAAAATTGTGAAAACCTGTTTTTTTCCCAGGCCTTGGAAAATTGGCCTTGGAAAAATTGGATTTTTTGGGAAAAATTAAATTTACTTTTTGGAAAATATACAAAGTAGTAGTCAACAACTTCACATTATTTTAAATTTAAAAAAATCCTTTATTACAAAAAAAATAAAACTTAACATTAAAATTAAATTTAAGAAAATAAACGTAAACGTGAAATATACTGTCTGTTGGGTTTTTTTATTGCAAAAAGGAGGCCATTAAAAATACCTACAAAATAATAAATGATTTATAAAGTTAAATTACAAAATTATAATTGTATAAATCAAAGTGTTAAATAAAAGTTATGTTAATAGGTATAGAATATGTTTCTTTTCGTGGCCCGGTACAATATTCTTACTGAATTAAAATAAAATAAACAATTATTATAATCATAATATTGTATGATTTTATAAACAGCGTCGGAAATTCACTTTTTTCTCGATATCAGTATACGGATAAATTTGGAAATTTTCAAAAAAATTGACTTTTGCATTTTTTCGTATCACCCTTTGAACAAAATTTAAAAAACTTAAAAAGTCAATTTTTCTGGAAATTTCTCAATTTTTCCGTTTTTTTTTTTGAAAAAAAAAACCGGTTTTTTTCCTCAGGCTCAATTTTTCTGGACATTTTTAAACTCTAATAACAAGTAACAAAAACTAAAACGCCTTTACCAATCTAAAATTTTTGTTAAAATTTCTTTCATAGCATATTTTTTATTTACATTAAATATACTTTAACTTATCTCTTTACGTGTTTCGATTTTATTTAATAAAAAACGCTCGAAAACAAACTTTTAAAGGGAAACATTTTTTTAAGTAAATAAAAAATATGCTGCGAAAGACCGTATTTTTGTAAGTATACCCTGAAAATGTTGTACAAATGACCACTTTTCAGCAAAATAATCAAAAAGTTGACATTTTTACCGACTTTTAAGCGCTGTATCTTCGTTACTGTTCGTTTGATTTGTACAACAGCATATTTTTTCTTAGAAAAAGTTATTTTTATTATTAAATAAAAATCAATAGCAAATTCTTGTATTCATTGGTGATTAAGTCAAAACATTCCGTGCACCAAAAAAGAATTCGAATTTTTTTTATTACAATATTCGTTTGGATTGAGCGTTGCACGTTTTTCATCTAAAAATCTCAAAACCATAAACTTCAAGCGGCTCCAATACGACCATTTTTAACGAAGATACATCTATCCGAAAAATCGCAAAAAATTTGGAATTTTTTTTATCCTTTAATTTTTTCTATTAGTGTAGAAGTTTTACATTGCTATTGGTTTCTTATGTGGAAACTACCAAATAATAAGAAATCGGATTTTTTAGTCTCCGTCAAAATTTTCAATAATGTAACAATATCATTTTGAAAAATACTCAATTTTTTAAGATTTATGTTGTTTATTGACAGAATATGCTTTATTGTAGCAGATTTGAAGAAAAAAAACAAAAAAAAAAAAACGTTTTTTACATCTCTAATTACAATCCACACAACAAGGTATGTTCTATTTTGTTTCGTGATTCATATTTTTTAAGATAAGACCAGAAATGTGTTCAGATGAAAATTTGGACGACATTTTGTTTAATTTAAAAACACCATCTAAACCTCTATCTATGAACATGTTCTTTGAGAGGATCTAAGTCATCCAAACCTTGACTTATGCAAATCGTACCGTAGGGAAATAGCACAGTATTTTTTCTTACCTGTAGTTTGGTTGACGTTCGTCCTGCCTGGTCGCGGATCGAACGCCGGTATCAGCGCGCTGAACTGCCTCTTGAGCACGTACTCGTCGTCCCAGGACCGCCTCTTGCTCGGCCTGGCCTCGAAACTTTCCTCCTCCATGAACGAGAGCAGATTCCTCGAAACCATCACCTCCTCGTAGTCGGCGTCGTCTTCGTTCTCGTCGTCGTCGTTGTCGTCTTCGTCGCCGATTTCCTCGTCGTCGTCGAGCTCCGCTAAAAGGGTGGGCGCGCGACACGATTCCAAAAAGTCTTCGAGCGACACCTGCTCGCTGTCGCTGCTGGTCGAGGTCAGGCTCATCGTTAGAGCCTGGCTCAAACCGGGCACCGCACCTGCTGCAGTAGGATTATCAGGTTGGCCACCTTGAGCGGAGAATAGCGATGTTAGGGTTTCGCGACGTTAGTTGAAATTGAAGGTGAGCAACGATAATAATGAGTGAACATGCGAAAATAAACTAAACAATGACAATCAACACTCAAACAAATCGCATTGATAATAAAGAAAAAAATCCATATCAACTATTCTCAATTTTCAGCTTTTGATCTTGTTTTTAGTACATTTGACTACACATTTGAAAATTGTTGATAATAATAATAATAATATCTTTATTGCCCAACAGAAAAGGAATTCCAATTACAGGACAATTATAATAATACAGAATATATAAACAAATACTAAAGTAAATATAAATTCAAAATAAGTTTAGCTAACTTCAAAATAATTTATGGCCAACGTTGTAATATTTTCAATAGTGGCAACTGCAATATCACATTAATTGCATATTTTATTGAAGTTACCACTCATGACAAATACTGGAGATTTCAAAAGAACATTGGTTCTGGCATATGCATTATAGAAAGTTAAAATAGCATCTAGCATTAATTCGTGGTTGATATCCAATAGTAAGACTTACAGTAACTGTTAAGATAGTCATTCATAACATTAAAATTGTAATTGGCCAATTAAAATGTTAAGTTTCCATTCAGAAAAAGTCGCCTTTATCAATCTATACAAAATTTTAGATAAAAATACTTAACTTATATATCTCAGATTACGTGTTCAAGTTTTTTTCGAGAAAATATCCTTAAAGCCCTTTTATTTAATAATAAAAACGCTCGAAAAAAAACTTTTATAGGGAATTTTTTTTAAGTAAATAAAAAATATGCTGTGAAAGACCGTATTTTTGTTAGTATACCCCATAGAGTATGGTATACCCTATAATTTTTGTACAAATCAAACAAACAGAAACGAAAATATAGCGGTTCAAAGTCGTCCCAAATTATCACTTTTCAGCAAAATAATCAAAAAGGGATCATTTTTACCGATTTTGAAGCGGTGTATTTTCGTTACTGTTCGTTTGATTTGAGGAAAATTTTCAGGGTATACTACTAACAAAAATACGGTCTTTAACAGCATATTTTTTATTTAGTCAAAAAAAATTCCCTAAAAGTTATTTTTTCGAACGTTTTTTATTATTAAATAAAAGGACTTTAAAAATATTTTCTAGAAAAACCCACGAACACGTAAACTGAGATATAAGTATTTTTATACAAAATTTCATAAAGATTGGTAAAGGCGTTTTAGAGTTCGAATTTTTTTTACTTATTATGCGTTAATTTTGACGCGCAGTGTCTAAATTCATTTAAAAAAATTGTTATTTAATGTCTATTTAAAAAATAATAAATTATTTTTTTTGGTTGCCTATAATACAATTTTTGTTGGTTTGACTATTTTTTTTGTAGCTTTTATCATAACTATAACATGTTTGAATAACTATTTAATAACAGTCAGACCGACTAGGATTTCTAATTGTAAACCGAATGCAACTTAGACCATTGGTTGAAATAACAATGCCGTCGGTGGTTTTTACTATTATTTTGGGGGAAAAAACAGCATGATTTTATTTAAATAAAAAAATCGTATTTATAAAAAATTAAACGAAAACTTATTTTTTACTATAAGAAGAAAATAAATAAACCCAAATAATTTTTCTAAATGCCTACATTTGTATGAAATAGCTGATATATTAATGGATAGGAACCCTCATATTTTTTTTATTTATATAGAATATAAATTAAAAAGTTTTTTTAGTCACTACAAATCTTTTGTAATAAAAAATAAAACTGAAAATTTCATCTTGATTTCACCAGTTGATGATTATACATCACCAGTGTCTAAATTGCTATTAACACTAATGTTAGTAATATTATTTAATTTAAATATAAATTTAAAAAACATATAAATTGTTATCGATTCCTAAACTTCCTAAACTAAAATAAAAATTCTAATTTTCTACTTTTTATTTTATAGTCGTTTTAATTTGTTTTAATGGTTATTTTAACTACTAAAAATAGTTATTTTTAACAATAAAAGGTAGGTAGCCTAAGCACTTTAAAATTTAGTAATTTTTATTAATTTAAATAGTCATATTAACAATTTTATTGTTAATTAGACCAATTAGTTATTTTTTTCTTACTTCATAACATAGTTGTTTTGATTAAAGTATTGTAAATTAACTAAATTTTTGTAGTTTATATAACATTTTAATTATTGTTAAAACTAAAATAATAGCCATTTATTTATTCCAAATATTAATGATTGTTTTTACTGAGAATCTTAATAGACTGAAAATTAAGTTGATTTTACCAATAAAATTTCTTTGAGTGCATAAATGGTGCGTAACTACTACGTTCCTTCAATAATACAACATAAACATGAACAGAAAAACCCTAAGAAAGCACCACATCCAACTTACCGGTGTTATTGCTCGACGACAGGCTGGGGTAGCTTTGAGCGGTGCTCAGCAAACCGCTGGGAAAGTTGCTCGAGAGAGCCAGACGCACCAGACTAGTAACCGAATTCGGGCCTCTGTGGAACAGGTTGCCGGAATTCTGGTTGTTTTGTGCGTTCGAACTGGCTATCGTTTGGTTGTTCGCTCCCGAATTCGAACCGTTCGCTGTGGATACTCCTCCCAAAGTCCTACGCCTGAGAAAATTATATTAACCAAGATCGTTTTCTACGCAACGAAGGTTTTTTGATTCTATGGCAAATTTTTCAAATTTCATGACACTTTTTATAACAAGAATTTATTATTTCTAAAGTTATTTTAATAAAAAATATGTAATTATTTAACGGTTTATTAAATAAAAATAAATATTTTTCTCGCATCAAAAAAAATATTTCTTCTATTTATATGGTACAGATTTTTAGTCTTCTTCTTTCTTCATAGTAGTTCTTTTTCTATGGTGTAAAGTTCATAAGTCAACAAACAAGGCCGTATTTAAAACATTTTATTACGTTTTAATCTACAGGACCGGCTTTAAATTTTATTTTACAAAATTTCCATTTTATAAAAAAGAGCAAAGGTGAGAAAATTATTTAAAAATAATGAAATTTTACGATTTCTATGAAAAAATGTGAATTTTATGATATTTTAGGACGATTTAACCACAGACCACCAAAACAAATGGACGGATTTGTTTACGTTTAAAAAGCGGGTAAAGCATAGTTTCACATTCTAAACACCGTCAGAAGTATAGATTACACGCCTTTTTGGACGTTCATCATAACATAATGAACATTAAAAATTACCAGTAATTCGTTTGAATAATAAAAAAAATTGTAAAAAGGATTTGTTCATCATTTTGTTTAGATATTTTTTTCTATTTAAAGAAAGTAAATCATTTAATATTTATTAATTAATTAAATATTAACAACGTTGGTAAATTCGTAATATTTGCGTTCAGTGGATTTTGGTTGACAGCCTAGAAAAAGGTTGACAGCTTGTTGTTTTGTGTTTTCGTTTGTGGATTTCTATCGTGTTTAAGTTAATTATTGAGTTTAAAAATACATTATTTTTTACTAAAAATAACAATACATGGAAATATTATTATTTTTTTAAATCCTAATATTCGTTCATAATTATTTAAAAGATTTATAAACCAATTTGTTTCACTAAACCTAAACTTTGCTGATGATTATTATTTCAATAAAAACTTAATTAAATTAAATTATCCCTATTTAAAACCACGGCATGTAACATAAATAAATTTAATTTAAAAAACGGATCGTAATCACAATTAAATTAAACTATTTTTAAATAATCCCTATTTAACACCAAGGCACTGGTTGCAGTCAGCTGTCATATTTGTTATATGTCAGCTGTTTTGGAGTACGCAATACGTCACTGAAAGAAAACATAAAATTCTATAGCCAATTTAGACTGCGACCGTTCGTTGACCGCAAACAAAGCATTGTTATTGAATGGCAATGCGCCGTCCATTTGTTTTGGTGGTCTGTGGATTTAACCTATTTAATGATATTTAAAAAAATTATGACAAACGCCAGAGTAGGAAATATTCAATATTAATTTTATTTACCTTATTTCTTGAATATCTACATTTTTTTGAATAAAATAATGACCAAAAGTCCATTTATAAAATTAAGTGCAGAAGTGATAGTTTAGAAAAAATGTGCTTACCTTGTGGCTAAAGCTGCGAATGTTTCCAAGAGTCCGGCGGCCGTGGCGGCTTCAATTTGCCCGCTGGATTCGCTGGAAGTCAAGTTCGGCACGCTGACGCTCATCGGATTCGTGACGACAACGGCGTTGTTGCTGTTGTTCTTGGCGTTGATCGAATTGGTCACGGCCTCGTCCTTTTCGCTGCTGCAACTGCCCGCACTTTTGGCGCCGACCGAGCCGGCGGCTCCGATCTTATCCGAGTCCTTTTTGCGCGGCTTGTCGTCCTCCGTTTCCGAGTTGCTCGACACCGAAATGCGCACGGCCGGGTTCAGCGCGTTGCTCAGCGCGCTGTTGAACGCCGACTGCAGCATCTCGCCCGAGAGAAAGCTGTTGGTGTTGTTGCGCAGCATGTCGGAACCTTCGCGGATCTTGTCCAGAGCCTCGACGGCCTCGACGAAGCTTTGAGCCACCACGGCGGCCGACACTTTCGAACCGTTCTTGTTCGAGTGCGACGATTTGTTCGAGATGGAACTGGCGGTGCTCGGTTTCGAATCGGACATCGTCAAGCTCTCGACGATCGTTGCCAAATCGCTGGAAACGTTGATGGCGGACAAATCGTTGTGAGGATCCCTCAGGGGATGCACCACCACGGACAGTTCCGATTCGTTGCTGGCGGCCTGGGATTCGGACGTCACCGCGACGAGGGCTTCGTTTCTCGCCGCGGACAGTATGCTTTGAGCGATGGTTTCCGCCGCTAAATTATCGGCCGATGCCGCTTGCTCGGTCGATGCCACCGACGTTTTGGCTTCCGTAGCCTCGGGCAGACTCGGCGTGGAACTGCTTTTCCTGCTGGTCAGTACGCTTTGCTTCTCCTTGCCGTCTTTCACTTTGTAATTCGGACACGCTTTCGATGTGGTGGCAGCGTCTATATCGAAACCTGGAGGCAGCTTCAGGTCGTATTTACCCTCGGCACCCATTCTGTACGAGTTCGAACCGCCGTGATCCCACGTGACGTCGATCCATCCGTTGTGAAGTTCGCCGGTGACGGTGCCTTCTCCGGGAGGGTTCCCGTCCTGATCCCTCCACTTCCAATCCATACCTCTGACCACCCTGGCGCCGACGGTCATGTGCTTCAAGAGCTGGCTCTTCAACAACCGCCTTTGCTTCCTCAAGTGAGCTTCCGCCTCTTTGGCGGCCTTGCCCAAGTCCTCGCAAACGCCGGCCACTTGCCCGTAGATCTCGAAACCGGAAAGACTCAAGTAGTGCGTCTGGCCGGAAGCATTTTTACCCGCCTGCTGAATTCTCACGTGTCGCCATCCTTGGTATTCCATGGTCGACACTTCGATGGGCCAGGTGCTGGTGGAACCCGGATCGTTTAGCGACATGTCGTGCGTGTGTGTGTACAGGGTCGTCCACGTCACGCCGTCCCTGGACATCTGGAAATGCCAGTTGCGCAGAGCCGATCTTCCATAACCTCTCGCGTGTCTTAGAGTGTAAGCGGTGGGAATGACGTACAATCTAAAACCAACGATTGATTAGATTTGGATGAAAATTAAATTACGTGTAAATAAATACATGTTTTTTGCATTAAAATATAAAAAAACTAAAATATTGCATTGACATGATTAATAAAGTTAAATTACAGAATTAATATTTTATAAATCGGTGTCAAATAAAACGATAGTTAAGTTAATACAGCAACGAATGTTTTTTTCCGGTCCGGTAGAATATTCTTTTTGAATTAAAATAACAAGGAATAGTTATTATAATCAAAGTGAAAAGCGTTACTTACCCCAAATCAATGCTGAACCACGCACGTTTATCGTCGTTAGTGTGGCAATTCAAGGCGGAAGTTTCCCTGGATAGAATGTCCTCCACTCTTCCGTACGGCAGGTTCCTTCCGTCGGAGCTGGTTACGGTAACCAAACCGTATTGCGCCGGGTTAACCCATTCCGAGCTGGTTTTTCCGTTGGTGCCGATAAAGTAGATGATGCCGTTCTCGTCAAAGTCGTGCGCATGTTTGTACTGTTGATACTTTGGATCCCTCAATTTTTTCAGAAACTGGAACGTGCTTCTGTCGTAGTCGTACCATTGTTTGGCCACCATTTTCAGAAGGTATCTCTCGAGCTGAGCCACCGTGGCCAGTGGCTCCATTTTCAAGCCTCTACCGCTGCGGTCGATCAGAGAACTTTCGCCCGGGGCCTTCTCCAATCTGAAGCGGAGCCTTCTGGTGAGTATTTGGAGGCCGTATCCGGACCCGGGGGTATCGTAGAGATAGACGGGCAGTTTTTCGATGCTCTCCAGCACGGATATCAACTTTTGGACTAGAATTGAAACGGAATTGTGCTCTTCCTGCGACCGATTCTTGAAGCACTGCTTGAAAACTTGCACCCGTTGCTTCTGGTACTTGTTGACTTTGTTGGACTTCAAGCCCTGATCCCAATAGCTCGTCGACAGCAAAGACAAGAGCGCCTGCACCAAACCGGAACTGTGCAGTTCGTAGGCGCTGACGACTCCGTCTTCCTGCAGAATCTGAGTGAGGTCGTCCAAGGCGGTTCTGAGGATTTCCTTCCACGAGTTGCCTCCGTCGCGGTTGTTGCCGTACGAGCACTGCTTTTGGCACGCGCGTTCGATCTGGGCCACGATGTTGCCCAATTTGGCAACGACGCCGCGCGGTTGCGCTTGCGCCGCTCTGAAGAACTGCTCGTAGACGGCGTGGGCAAGGTACTTCACCTTCATTTTGGTCGCTTCCAATTTCGAACGCAGGCGCTTGCCCTTCTTGTTCGTCCAACCTGCTGCGAATTCGGGACCTAAACACCGACGCGATAAGTACTTTTTCTACTAGCCATTTGCGTGCGCAAAGTTGCACTTTTCCGCACGCATTTAAAATGTACGTAAGTATGTTGATTTTAGACGAAATCAAGTTTAGTTAGTTACTTAGTTTCCATGCCAATAAGTGTCAAACAAAGTGAAACGTCATAATAGATTTTTCGCGAAATTGAAATTAACATTTTGAAAGAAGAGCTACCAAATGACATCCTGTAAGCAGCAAATATGAGAAACAATTTAAACATTTTGAAATCTGAAGCAACAACAAAGGGGCAACAAGTTTTAAGGAAGAAGTGTTTCTGGCCTATTTTGAGGATTTAAGAAAATCATATCAGCCAAATACGTACTCCATGTTAAAAAGTGTCCTAAGTTCATACAAATTTGGATTTGAGTCTATATTATAAATTAACATCTTATATAAAGAAGGAAAATGTGGGATACCGACCAACAAAGTCCAAAATTTTTGAGAAAGATGACATTTCAAGATTCATTAAAGAAGCACCAGATGAAATTTACTTTTTAATAAAAGTTGCCACCATTTTTGGGTTAGCTGGTGCTTGTAGGTGAGAAGAGCTCTCAAAGATAATAAGTGATGATATAGAAATACCCAATGTGTAGGAATTAATACATAGAAGAATCCATGACCCAAAAAAAATATTTCGAATAAAATTGGACATAAAAACGGCTCTTGTGAGTTAAGCCAAACTGTGTTAAATAGTTTAAGTCGCCTTTTGAATGAATTAACCTGTTCTACAATTAATTTAGAAAATATTAATAAATTCTTCCTTTGTAATAAACATTGATACAAATTAATTTAATAATCATTGCTATCTAACTTTGCGCCCACTAGTAGAAAAAATATTGTTCCTAACACATGAGCAAAGTAAAAATTAACCTATTTTACTTACCTAGACTGGTTTCTGCGATAAAGGAATGCTTAGTGCCTCTGTTGGATTCAAATATAAACCCAGGCAGGTCGTCCCTTAGTATGGTTGTTTGTTGCTGTCCATCCGAATTGTGGATGTGAATTTCGGATTCTTTTCTCGATGTTAGAGACCAATTTCCTACGACTAACCTGGTCGGGCCAGGTTTCGTCAATATCGGTATGGAATTGTTGTTACATTTAACTGCCGCACGCGCTCTTTGCAGTTTTTCCAGAAATTCGCCGCGATTTTCTATGAATAAAAAACGAATTAACCGTCATGCCATTAAAATACCGAGCATCTATGTTAGTGAAGAAGATGCGTTTAGCTCAATGGTGTTGACAGATATTTAACCTAACAATAACATTGAACACAAATCAACACCATTTAAAATGGCAAATAAAAAGGCTCTCTACTGGCAAGCTGAAGAATTATTTTCCGGCAACTTAATAAAAAAGAAAAAAAATGGATTTTAAAGCGTCGACTTACCTTCGGTGGTCAGAGAGTCTGCAGCCCGTCCCTTGCCTATTGAATACAAACAAATAACATCACTTCTGTTATCACGCAGCAATAATACAAAAAATATAGTCAAATGATTGTGAATAATACTATAGTGATTCTAGAGTATTACCAAGTGTTAGAACTACTTATTGAATCAGTTAAATTTTTGGACACTATTTGTTTTTAATTAATATTAATGATATGATGGTTAAATACAGTGTTGGCCATAATTTTTGGAACCACTGTAAAAAAAATCTAACTCTAAAACGCCTTTATTGTTCTTAATGAAATTTTGGATAAAAATACTTTAACTTATCTCAGTTTACGTGTTTTTCGAGAAAATATTTTTAAAGCACTTTTATTTAATAAAAACGTTCGAAAAATAACTTTTTTAAGTAAATAATAAATATTCTGTTCAAGATCGTATTTTTCAGGGTATACTAACAAAAATACAGTCTTGAACAGCATATTTTTTATTTACTCAAAAAAGTTATTTTTCGAACGTTTTTTCATTATTAAATAAAAGGGCTTTAAGAATATTTTCTCGAAACACGTAAACTGAGATATAAGTTGAAGTATTTTTATAAAAAATTTTATAAAGATTGGTAAAGGAGTTTTAAAGGAATTTTTTTACAGTGGTTCCAAAAGTTATGGCCAACACTGTATTTCACAGTATTAGTAGTTGCAAAAAAGCGCATTTAAATATAAGTAATCGAAAATATTAAATGGGTTCTTCTTTGTGAAATGATTACTTACTCTTAGTCAATTTTGTTAATGAACCTTCTTCATGCAGTAACTATTAAAAAAAAATCGCAAAACTATGGGGTTTACAACACCAAAATAAGGTGCCAAGAATTAAATCTGGGAAAACATAATATAATATAAACAAAAAAAGGGGGAAGCAAGCTTTACTAAAAGCGTATTTTATGAATGCATTGTTGAAAAATAAAAATACGCCAAAATTGATAAAGAACTTTCGTAAAATATGTTGTAAAAGTTCTTTATAATCAAACATCAAAATATCGACATGCTTTAAATATCGTCGCAAGTTTCTTACCCGTGGTGTCGGCGCCTCCTTCAGGGGATCCACTCGAGTACATGGTTGCCAGTTTGCCGTCCAAAATGAACCTGAACCAGCCGTTGGAACCGTTCGAAAGTTCCAAAGCGGCGGCATCGGACCAAATGTAGAGGCAGTCGCGACCTCTGCACACCGACCATTCGCGCCAATGGTAGGCTTTTCCAGGCAAAACGTCTTTTGCGTCTTCAAACTGAAATTGTTCATTGACATCTAAAAGAAAAAAATGGTTTTGTAGTAATTTCAAAAAATAAATATACTCTCTTCTCGGAGAACTTCAATGTTTCGTAGTTTGTTAAACATTAATTAACATTTTGAAAGTTTGAGGGTATAAAGAAGGTAAAAACTAAGATTAGTAGTCATTGGTAAAAATTACATTTAACTGTTTAGTTTTTCTTAACTTATAATTATTTATGGTCGTAAAAAACTGTAGCAGTATTATACCGTCCTGATTTAAAAAGTGGGTATCTAACATTTGAAGTCAAACCGTTTTAGACTAATTCGGACGTGCTAAATGCAAAAAAAGTACGAATTTCAATTGAATATTGAAACACCGTATCTCGAGTTTTCTAGGGAAGAACGTAGGTATCTACAAGTTTGTACATTTAAAAAACTTAAAAAACACACTAGAGAGCAAATTCAAAAAAATGGTACTTGAACACATAATAAGCAAGAGAAATGAAGACCTGTGATACAACTGTGATAGTATTTATTAAGTACAAATGCTTTATTTTACAATAAATTGTTATATATACACATATTACATATATTTTAAGATATTTTGTTATACATGCACATGTTACATATGTACCTGTTAAGACCCGAAATGGGTTATTTAGGTTTATTTCCTCAATAAAAAAAAAATTCCTATTGAATTCTTTTCAAAAGTCGGTGTCGATCTATTGACATTTAATGGCCGTTTTTCCTTTTGATTTTTTGGAATATCTTTTTTCAAACCCAATTTTTTCGAAAAATCTAAACATAATCTACTTTTGCAATATATAAAGTACAATTTTTGATGCGTAAATTATAAAAATAAAATATACAACCTTACAATAAAAATATATTTTCGTCTAATAGATACACCATTTTGGGGGTATTTTAAAATTAAAAAAGGCCCTAATCGTGATAAAATATGAGAGTATGCATCTGCGTTAAATCCTGGAAAAGTGTAGATACAGTAATACATTTGTAGATACTCACTTCTTTCATCAGGATTTCTAGAAAATCGCTGTAGATATAGAAAACGTGAAAAAATACGTACTCATACTTAGTTGAATTAGTCTTTTAATAATTAATCCAACAATATAAAAAACTCATTTTCCATGAAAATGTAGATACGCACTTTTTAAATCAGGACGAAAGTTTTCTTAGTAAGAATTTTTTACCGTTACAAATCACTTTTCAAACTCATAACGTTAATTGCTATTAGTTTATCGGTTTAATAAATAAAAAAAAACATTAAATCGTTTAACATACACAACCAAACTTTTGACAAGTTACAACATGAACAAACTAATCTTACATGTTGTAGATGTCGATATGACGCTTGACTCTGAGAACAAAGTTAAAAAAGCTTTTATTAATTGAAAAAAAAATTGGTAATTGCAAACAAGATTTTTTAATATTATTAAAGAACTGAATAAAACAAGTAAATACATTTTATATTCATAGTTTAAAATAAACAGAGTACACTGTCTACAAAAGGGTTTGTTCAAAACTACTGCTTATGTTAATATTTGATTCTGAACTAATACAAAAGTTATACTTGAACAATGCTAATGTTAACTTGGATAAAACAGTCAGAGGAACTTTATTGATGCAAAACTTTCTCCTGGAATTTTAACTCTTACATGTAAAACGGTACAAAACAATAATGAACTAATTGGTTGCCTACCTTCCATGACCTGTTCGGTTTCCTCTGGTTCCTGCGGTTCCGGCGGGCCAGCCAAAGCTTGCACCTTGGTGAAAATGCCCAGCCTCGCGAAATGATCGAGGAAAACTTCCTGCGACTTGGACATTAGGTCTTGTATGATGGAAAGCACCACGGAGTGACCTTCTTCGTCCTCCTAGAATACAATAGAGAGAGGAGTGCGTTAAGACGTCGACGTGACCGAGTTAATAAGGCATTTTCGTGATAAAAGTTATTGGTTTATTCTCAAAAAAGTACATTTCTACTTATATATATATAAATATTTTTTATAGTAAATTGTTTTATTACCAAAATGACTTTTAAAGCATAATTATTTTTTAACATAACTTTTTCAATTTCTATTTTATCGTAAAAATGTGCTTTCCCGTCTTAAAAAGCATTTTTTTTGAAAAAATAACAGGTTTTTTATATTTTTTTACGATAACTTTTTTAATTTTAATTTTATCGTAAAAATGTGTTTTTTGTCCATTCTAATTATAAAAAGTGATATTCGCATTTTTAAACTACAAATTTGGCCAGGAACTGTACTACAATTTTTACCTTAAGTTATTCTGTAATTTTAGTGTTTTGTGTTTCTAGCATATTATATTACTTTAAAAATTTAATAAGGCTAGCAAAATGTACTTTTCTTTTGAATAATTCTGTAAATACAAATTTAAAAAAATGATAAAAATGAAATTTGATTGATGCGATTACTAAATGATTATGGAATTATAAGGGGGTTAACTGAAAATAAATAAAAAGCAAAAAAATAAACGCGAAAGCTTGGGCATGATTTAACTAAAAAAACCATCACACAATGTTGCATTAAATTTTAGTTGTCATTGACATAATTTAGGTATATTTATTTTCGGAACTAAATTAGTAATTTGGAAGTCTAAAAACCAGTTTACTAATTTAGTTCTGACGTTTTTAAATAATAAAATCCCTTTAAATTTATATTTTTACAGTTCTTAAGTGTCTCTTAAATATTGATTAATGTACTATTTGATGATTTTCGTCGATATTGTGTAATGGTTGTGTTTAATTTAATTTGAGGTATTTAGGGCGTGGGGTTTGCAAAATCATAAACTGACCATAACAGAGGAGGAACTACTACTGTTATAGGGAATGATACGTCGTTCGTGCACTAAGGCGCGCATCGTGCGCACGATTATGCTCAATGGGCCGGTAGCTGAGCCGACGTTACTGTTACTACCACGTGGCGGCTGCGCTGCGCACGGCCAGCTGTAAGTGATCTGGAAAACGACGGTTCTGCGCATCAGCCAGGCTAAATGTCACCAATACACTTACCAACTCAATACATACTTTTAATTTATGCATTAAATGTGATACAATAAAAATATGTTATTTCCAAAATGAGTAAGGAAAATTTAGGTGTTTACTTCAATAGCCATTGCTACTAGGGTTTTAAAGTGTCGGAAAAAAACCGGAAGAATTAGGAGAAAAACTGTTTTTTACGTTTTTTCTCAGGCCTTGAAAAATTGTCTGTTTCAGGAAATTTCTAATTTTTATTGGGAAATATACACGTTTGAAAGGAACTTAACATTATTTAAATTTAAAAAAAATATCCTTACACAAAACAAAATAAAACTAAACATTGAATTAAAATAAATTGATTTAAGAAAATAAACGTAAACGTTATGTAATTAATGTAATATATTAAAATACTGAATTCCTTTTGACTTAAGGTGTAACGGAAAAATATTTTCCTAAAGATAAAGAAAAATATGCATTAGAAGTTTTTTTTATATTTTTTGTGATACGCCACTGGTTACACACTTGTGTTCTGTGAGTACATAGATACCAACCAACAAAGTAGCTACGCGTTGCCAGTTGTAAAAAATTGTTACTAAATTTTTTCTTGCAAAAAGTAAATAAAAACTCAATAAACATAAAAGTTTTATGCCCTTAAAGCTATAATACCCTTCTGTATTTATTTACTCATCCAGGTATTAGCTTAAGCAATGATTAGAAAATTTAGTACCTATTTTAAAAACTCCATAACCACAAAATTAATGTTTTTATCAGTTTTTTTCTTTCTGTTTACTCAGATGAAATTAGGACAAGTTCGCAAGTTAAACTTTAAAAATTCAATTTGGGTAAATAAATCCAAAAGCATTTCCCTTGGTTAAGATATTTACAATTTGAGCACATAACCTAAAATTGTCATGTTTGTAATTTAAACAGAATTTGAATTTTTTTTTGACAGAATCTGGAAAGGCTGGTTGTTACCAACTATAACATAATAAATTAAATTAGGCAACCAGATTAGCCTAAAGTTCCTATTAAAATCATAATATTATGATTATATTCAGCGTCGAAAATTCACTTTTTTCTCGATTTCAGTGTAAGGATAGCATCCGTAAAAATTTGTCAATTTTTAGAAAAGTTGACTTTTGCTTTTTTTGTATTACCCTTTGAATAAAATGAAAAAAATGCAAAAGTTATTTTTTCTGAAAATTTCCCAATAACTTGCGTTTTTTTTCGCCGGCTAAATTTTTCCGGAAATTTTAAAACCCTAATTGCTACTTGCTACAAAATTTTAAACCATATTTGAGAAATAGTTAGTTCACGCTCCATAATTTTTTCTTCTCACCAAGAAAACGCCACACGGTGCTGTTCTGAGAGGTGATTTTTGGACTTTCTGTGAAACCTAATTTTTTTTATATTCTTGTTAATTAGGTCATAACTAAAATTTTAAGAGCAAAATAAAAAAAATTTTGACGGTTTGAATTGATTTAATTGGCTGTTTATTAAAAATATTATGCACTCTTTCAATTATCCAATTAAAACTGGCGATTTAATTTAAATATTAAATTTAATTTTTACAATTTTTTTTTATATATTTTACTGTTTTGTTGCAATAAACGTTCAAACTTTTAATCTAACCTTTGACGTATACATTTATGTTCCCTTAATTAATATATCCTTAAAGGTTGCCATGAAACTTAGATCTATTAAAAAATTATTTGACGTTAGAATTGTCATTTTCAGTATACGTATTCTATAAATTTTGTTTAGTTTTTTAAAGTATTTTTTATAAACAAAAATGAAAAATTGTAGTAAAAGTTACGAAGAAATTCATGAAATTTAACTAAGGACCGGTTTATTCACCTTTAGTAAAGTTTATCGGGCCGATAACTTTCATGTCTTGGCAATATCTAGTATCCAAAGAAATTATTCGTTAAATAAATCAAAAATGAATAAATCGGCCCTAAATAAAATGTGGCACCCTTAGAATTATTGTTTAATAAATGTATACTATACATTTAATCTTAAATTAAAACTTTAAACGTGTATTACAATAAAACAGTAAAAGATATAATAATATTTTTTTAGGAAATTAACTAATCTTTAATCTGATTTAAAAAGTTATGATAATATTTAAATAAAATCGCAAGTTTTAATTGGAGAATTGAAAGTGTGCATACATATTTTTAATAAACATCCAATTAAAACAATTCAAACCGTCAAATTTTTTTTATTTTGCTCTTAAAATTTTAGTTATGACCTAATTAACAAGAATATAAAAAAATAGGTTTCACAGAAAGTCCAAAAATCACGTCTCAGAACAGCACCGTGGCCATAATTAAAAAAACTCACCTCGTTGTCCAAAACCGTGGCGATGACTTCCACTAGCTGCGTACCGAAGTTAGGGCTGGCCTCCACGTTGCAAACTTCCTCGAGCAAGTTGGGTTGTATGTAGTGTATCATCTTCTTGATCAGGCCCAAGCTGGCTTTGCGCACGTTCGGCAGCATGGTCGATTGGAAGGTGGTGCAGAAGACGGGCAGCAGGCGCTGCAGGTAGACCGGCGCCATCTCCGGGTCGCCTCTAGGTTCGATGGTTTCTTCGTTGTCGGATTCGGATTTGCGCTGGCGATCCTTGTCGACCGGTATCATCCATTCGCCGGGCGATTGCAGGATCGCTGCCACTTCGCGGTGACCTTAAGCAATAAGAATAGAATAAAATAATATAATAATATATAAAATTTAACGCTCTACAAATATTATTATTTTTCGATAAATTGATTTCTTTTAGAGTTATTCAAGGTCAAAGTTTGATTAACATTAAATTTTCTGTTTTTTTTTTTAATTTTATGGTATAATTAGCAGACGGGAGGTGAAAGGGGGCAAAACAAGGCAGCGGGGGGGGAGGGGCAAAATGGGGTACCCAAAAATTAGCATATGAAAAGTTTTCCAAAATTGTGCCATCCTTTTTCTCGCTCTACAGGCTCAGAATAATTATTTTCGATTAAAAGCGTGAACTTGTGAGTCAATTTTCAAATAATTTAGAAACCGAAAAAAACAATCTAAAAAAATATTTTTTTTACGAAATTTTTTGGGTACCCCATTTTGTCCACCGTTGCATTGTTTTGCCCCCTTTCACCTCCCGTCTGCTAATTGTACCATAAAATTAAAAAACCAGTAAATTTGATGTTAATCAAACTTTGACCTCAAATAACTCTAAAAGAAATCTTTTTGTAGAGCGTTAAATTTTATATAAGAAACTGCAATGATCATTGCCATAAGTTACTTTGATACAGAGGTATAAAATTCCAAACATAAATTAATTTTTTCCCATGTTAATTCAATGGGAAACTAAAATAAAAACAGCGACCTCTTAGAGTTGAGCTGGAACGCCCATATTTGGTGAGGATTTTCTTTATATTAAATAAAAACATTTGAGAGGGTAAGAGCGAAAAAAAAATTTTTTTAAGCACCCTAAGGTATATATTATGTTTCAAGTTCCATGAACGCCATTTTAGACACGAATTTAATTTAGGCACGAGCAAGCTTGCGACAAATACTTATTATTATCTAAAAATGATTTAAATTAAATATTTGTATACAGCGACATCTATAAAACAATATATAATTCGTATTAATAATCCAGAGCAAACTTCGACTATCACCCAACGCCGGTGAAGGGTCTACCGCTGAATTACAAAAATCGTCTCTCGGGCCGAGATTCAAGGCCTCCCCCGCTCTTAAAAACCGAATGAAATTAGGGTGTAAATGTTGTCTTACCTTCGTCGACCCTTTCACGAGCCTTATCGAGCGGCGTCTTGCCGTCCTCGTCCCTCAAATCCGGATTGGCGCCGTACCTCAGCAGCACCTTGGCGATGGCGGGTCGGCCGAAGCAGGCGGCGTAGTGCAGCGAAGAGCTCCGCTGGCCCTTGTTCACGTCGGCCCCCTTCTCGCACAGGTACTCGACCATCTCCTGCGTGCCGAAGGCGGAGGCCCAGTTGAGCAGCGTCTGGCCGACGTCGTCCATGAAGTTGACCTCGACGCCGCCGTTCTCGATGGCCTCGATCAGCGCGTCCGTGTCCTTCGAACGGATGCAGTCGATGAGCTGGCGGTGCGATTTCTCCGCCGCAGAGTCCATGCGGCGGATGCGCGGCATCAGCTGGCCGGAGGCGGCGGCGCCGCCGGACTTTCCCAGCGCGCGGCGGCCCTCGAACAGCAGCACCAGGAGCAGGTCGACCAGGCGCATCGAGTCCAGAGCGCAACGTTCGTCGCCCTTCAGCGATTTTTCTATCGCGTCCAACAGTTCCGATCTAAGTAAATCCTGTGGAAAGGTTAGTATTTGCTAGAGGTGGGTTTCATTTTAAAACTTTCTTTTAAAGTTACCAGAAACATTCCCGGAAACTTTCCGTTTTTTATGTAAGTGTCAAGTGTATAACAGCAGATTTGAGAAGTTAAGGATAAAAAACTGAATGAAAAGAAGTTCATTTGTGTTAATTTAAAAAAGAAGAAGTATAGTATTAGTTAGGTTCTATGATTATTTTATTGAAGATCTCATCATCACAATTCATAAATCGTTAAAATCTTATATTTGGAAGTATTACAAAATAGTGCAAAAAAGACAATGCTCAATGCAATACATCAAATGTTAGATTCAGTTCCCAAGTTAACACTTTTATTATTGTTTGGCATAAAAAAAATCCTAATTTATGTTTTTTGCTTTTGAAATTGTTTTTCATGGGTAATATTAGTTAAAAAGGTTAATTTTATTATGCCTGTAGTTTTTTTGCTTCATATTTTGTTGGGCAGAACTTTTCAATTTTCATGAAAAAAAATCACAATTTATGTTTTTTGCTTTTGAAATTGTTTTTTATGTTAAAAAAGTTAATTTTATTATGCCTGTAGTTTTTTTCATATTTTGATGGTCAGAATAGTATTTTTATTACTTTTCAATGTTAGGAATATTCCTAAGTTACAATTTTTACAAATTTAAATCTCAGGAATAACACTTTTATTTTTTTTATTTGATTTGAAAAAATCTTAATTTATGTTTTTTGCTTTTCAAATTTTCAATTTTCATGAAAAAAAAATCCTAATTTATGTTTTTTGCTTTTGAAATTGTTTTTTATGGGTAATGTTAGTTAAAAAAGTTAATTTTATTATGCCTGTAGTTTTTTTCATATTTTGATGGTCAGAATAGTATTTTTATTACTTTTCAATGTTAGGAATATTCCTAAGTTACAATTTTTACAAATTTAAATCTCAGGAATAACACTTTTATTTTTTTTATTTGATTTGAAAAAATCTTAATTTATGTTTTTTGCTTTTCAAATTTTCAATTTTCATGAAAAAAAAATCCTAATTTATGTTTTTTGCTTTTGAAATTGTTTTTTATGGGTAATGTTAGTTAAAAAAGTTAATTTTATTATGCCTGTAGTTTTTTTCATATTTTGATGGTCAGAATAGTATTTTTATTACTTTTCAATGTTAGGAATATTCCTAAGTTACAATTTTTACAAATTTAAATCTCAGGAATAACACTTTTATTTTTTTTATTTGATTTGAAAAAATCTTAATTTATGTTTTTTGCTTTTCAAATTTTCAATTTTCATGAAAAAAAAATCCTAATTTATGTTTTTTGCTTTTGAAATTGTTTTTTATGGGTAATGTTAGTTAAAAAAGTTAATTTTATTATGCCTGTAGTTTTTTTCATATTTTGATGGTCAGAATAGTATTTTTATTACTTTTCAATGTTAGGAATATTCCTAAGTTACAATTTTTACAAATTTAAATCTCAGGAATAACACTTTTATTTTTTTTATTTGATTTGAAAAAATCTTAATTTATGTTTTTTGCTTTTCAATTTTCAATTTTCATGAAAAAAAATCCTAATTTTTGTTTTTTGCTTTTGAAATTGTTTTTTATGGGTAATGTTAGTTAAAAAAGTTAATTTTATTATGCCTGTAGTTTTTTTTCATATTTTGATGGTCAGAATAGTATTTTTATTACTTTTCAATGTTAGGAATATTCCTAAGTTACAATTTTTACAAATTTAAATCTCAGGAATAACACTTTTATTTTTATTTGATTTGAAAAAAATCCTAATTTATGTTTTTTGCTTTTAAAATTGTTTTTTATATATATTTATATAACTCATTTCCGCAATAATTTTTTTTTAACTTACGGGAATTTTCTATGGAAAGTTTCCGGGAATTTTCGTCAAATGGGATTTTTTTCCCATCTCTAGTATTTGTAGTTTACGCCGTTGATTTTTTATTCATGAATTATTTATTTCTCTATTGAATTTCACTTATCTCTAAATTATTTAAAATGTCGAATGAAAACTTATTGCATTAAAAATATCATAAAACAAATTATAAATTTCTCATATGATATTTTTAATTCAAATTATAAATTTTTCTGGTGTTAATTTCAATTATAAATTTGTCCCATGATATTTTTTATTTAAGGAATTAAAAATATCATTTTAAAATTTAAAAAAAAAGCATTTTTTAATTTGTCCTAAGATATTTTTAATGCAATGAATTAAATTTCTGACTTCTGATCTTTTATTTATAAATAAATATTTCAGATATCTGAAATTGATTTAGATATCTGAAATTAATTTTACATATCAAAAATAAATTTCACATAATTGAAATTGATTTAGAGATGTGAAATTCAATGAAGAAATAAATAATCACATGGTGCGCCATAGTAGTGTCTTAACTTCAAAAAGTAACAACTTACGTGTGTGATGGTTGGTGATCCTCTGCACAGAGTCGATAGTAAACTGATGATTGTCGAGACAGAAGCAGCGTTGGCTTTTGATTCTGGTGCTGCAGCTGCGGCGTTATTTGTCGATGAAGATTTTCCTGGTGTACTTTGCGTGCCGCTAGCTGTTGCAGGACCTGCGGCGCTAGAGAGACGGCTAAGAAGCTCATTGACTAAACCTAAAAACGAAAAAAATGTTACCAGTTTACTAAACTAATTACGTGTGTATTAATTACCGTGTTGGGCTAAGGGTGCAGGATCGACTCCTCTTCTAGTAAACCTATCTGCCACGGAGGCAAAACATCTAAGCGCCCCGTCAGCTACATGCGAATCTTCGTGTTGTAGCAGAGTACTCAAAGCTTGCACGCACGTTGGTAATTGAACATCGGCCGGTTCCATTTTGGTGCACAACCTCGAGACCACCGCCATGGACGAATGCAACGTGTCTTTGTGCACTTTTTGTCCGTTATCTCTGATGAAAGGTAAAATGGCGCTCAAACCGCCAGCCTCGAAAACCGCGCCGGCCTCTCTCGTACAAATTAACTCCAAAACTTTGACGCACTGTTCCGATAGATCCTTGCTAGTCCTGGACGACAGTTCCGCCACCACCAACCTAATGATTATATTATAAATTTGAGGTTTTTAGACCTCCTTGATTTTCATATTTCCCTCACTAAACTCGTACCAGACAAAATGGTGTGATCATAAAATATCACAAATGTTCGATTATATGATTATATCAACATACCTGTTGCAGATAGCTCTGACTGCGCCATCTATGGCCACGATTCTTCTGGTGCACTCGGCCGACACGTCCAGATAGTAGGTGATAGCTCTGGCGGTGACTTCGAGCACGTTTTCGGGCGCCTGCTCGTCGAGGAAGACGCGACAGAGGGCGGGCAAAAACGTGCGCGGCGGACAGCTCTCGAAGCAGCGGTCCACGTTGTCGGACATCAGCAGCAACATGCACAGCTGCTCGAGCGCGATCAGCTGCATGTCGCGCTCGTCGCCCAGACCGCTGTTCAGCCATTCCAGCAGCGTTTCCGGATCTGGATCCGCCATCTAAAACAAGAAAGACACTTTTAGAATCGCAATTTTACGCAATGCAAATGAAAATGTTATAACGTCAATGTAAAAGTTAATGTTTCGATTAATGGTCACAGACTTTGTTGATTACAATCAATTTGTACACTGAGAAAAAAGTTTATTGCTCCCAAATAAAAAAAAAATTTAAATATGGGACAGTTTATTTATCCTAAATATATTTTTATTCCCGACATAAAGTTTTACTAAAGTATATTTATCGTTAGTATTTCGACTATTTAGAGGTAATAAACAATATATTCACTATTAATAAAAGTATTAGCTACACAATTTATTTGTCCCATTTTTTTCTCAGTGTAGGTTTATTTTCCAAAAATAATAAAACAAAACACTTTCTTTAAATTTGCGACTTTTCTTAGACACAATTTGTTATTTTCAATTACTTTATAAGCATTATAAAGTACTTGCCAACAAAGAATTTGACATCATAATTGAAAATCGCAAGGCGTTGGCTTATTACATTTTTACAAAGCTCAGATTTGTTGGCTATATTTATTTTGTCTAAAGAAAGCAATTTCTCTTTTTAATTTTTCCTCTCAAAGTTTTAATCATAGATTTTCAATAACCGTCCTGCTATAAATATGCTTAAAATACTGATTTTTTTTGTATCAAAGGGTCTTTCCATTTCAAATTGTCCAGGTTTTTTTCTCAAGTTTTCTTACAAATATTTCATCCGAAATGATGAAATAGGTATTTATAGTTTTTTTAAAGCTTTATTTTTTGTTTTTTTTTTAAATTTTTTTAACATAAAACGTTTTTTTAACCTGATGTTGATTTTTTCAGATGGGAAAAAATACCCTTTTATGTTTGTTATGCAAACAGCTGATTTAATATAGAAAACCGAGCAATCAATTTTATTCACCCTGTAATCTTAAAAACACAAAATCATGTTTAACAAAATCAAAAACGACAACAAAGGTGGTTTTAAATTTAATCAAAATATAAACACAACGTAAATAAAAATACGCGCTATCAAAATCACCATGATTTATTGTCGCTGTATTTATTTTGCCAAGTTCGTTAAACTTATCAAACAAGCATTTTTTTAAACAAGATAATGCTCTGTTAAAACATTATTAATGTATGTATGTTAATAATATAAAATTTATGCATTTGCACGTACGGCTTCGTGTCGGGTTTTTAGTTGGCTAGTAATGTTACAAAGTAAAAGTGTATTCGTATCAATTCACGGAATAGTAATCAATAGTTTCCTAATCGTTAGAAATGTTATACAATACGGTATATTATAATATTATTAATTTCTTTATTAAACATCTTTTATTATATGTTCACCGTGTTGTTTAATTAATACGACACCTAAACAACTAACTTATCTAACGGTATCGGAAGCAGTGTTTTAGAAAAAATAAAAATAAAGGAAGTGAAAGATTAGGTTACAATGGTGCAATGGACGGCATTAAGTAAAATTTAATATTACACAATACCAAGAACAACTACTTTGTTTACCTAACCATCGACTTCGTTAATTTTTTACTTAGGTATTTTTAGTTTGCCGGTATTTTCTAAAAATACTGCTATTTTTATGTAAAAAATAGAATCAAAATTGTTTCCATATACTCAAAAATAGACAGGAAATTTGGCTGGACATACTGTTTAGTTCAACGCCCCCAAGTCAATTTGTTTTTTATTTATATCAAATCAAAACACAAAAATAGTAGACACATAAAAAATATTTAACATTTATTATTGAGAAACTTCGATTTGAAGGTCCTTCGCAAAATCGAAATTGATTTGAACCGAGTTTCGCAGCAGATGCGGCTCGAAAATAAAATTATAATAAAAAAACTTTGGCAGAGACGTCGAAAATCGATGTTAAAATAAAATGAATTGCTCGAGGTATAGTTGAAAAATTGCCACTTTATTGGAGCGCTCTCTTTATGTCGAAGGATTAAAGTGAAATGGAAATTTACTTTGTTGGCATTTAACAATAACATGCGGCGCGTTGTTGTATCGAGTCAATTGCCCGGAATGTCCTTTTAAGTCCTGGCTTTTTGTATACGACAGACATTCGTTTAGTTAATAGGGTTTATGATATTTAGCGTGGCAAATTTATTAATGTTTATTTAGTTATACAAGTTTATTTTTTTCTGTAAAACCAAACAAAACAGGATACAAATTTTATTAAATATTAAATTTCGAAAAATAAGTTTGTTTAATATATAAACTGGATATTCTGTCACAATTAAGATTTTGTTTTAGATTATTCTCTTGATGAATTCTATTAATTAATAATAAATTCCAAAATAGAAAAGATTTATGAACTTTATTATTCTTGACGAAATCTTTCAATTAATCATCAAAAAAGACAAATTATATCCTAATACAAATTATACCCATTATAAAAATTGGGTTAGAAGCAAAAATACAATGCTAAAAATGCAACTTTAATTGTTAACCAAAATATTAAAAGTATAGGATTTTATAATAATAATAATAATAAAACTAAAACTCAATGAAATAGAAAGCATGGGTAGAAGTTTAAAAGCATGTGTGGAAGGGTAAAGCCTATACAATTTATACTATACTATAATAAAATTACATTTACATTATAAAAAACGTGATGATGTCTCGACAGTTCGTTTTTGTGTTATTAATAATCCCTTTATAAAATCCCGACATAAAAATCAGCCTCCCCAGCAATTTATGTTTAAACACAACCGTAAAGGTTCTATAAAGGCCCTTTATAAATGTGCCTTTAATGAACTAAAGGCTAACTCTAATGGAACTGTACATATTATGTTGCGTTCACTTTTAATGGGCATGTAACGGCAGTCAATAAAGGCACTTACAAGAACCATCCAATTTTATGATATTACGCGATAAATGTTCTGATATGGCAGATTAAAGGTAGGTACATATGTTTATAACGATATTCCACGATAATCATCGGGATAAAAATTTCCGTTTATCGTGGAATATTCGACCCAATAAATATAAACAAACTGCATTACATTAATTAATATATTATCTTGAAATGTAATACTAAAACATAAAAATTTTAATTTAAAAACTGTTTATAAGGTAATAAATGGAATCCCTAATATTTAAATAAATAAAAAGATCCTTAAACTAATTAGAAAATATTTAAAATTAAAATATATATTTACAAATAAGTTCACTTGATTTTGTTGGTAGATTGTCCTCTATAATAAAGACCTAAGAAGGTTTAATTGATATCAATTAAACCTTTCTACTAAATTCTTTGGCGGTGGGTATTTTTTTTGTAATAAGAGTTCTAAAATTTGGAAAAAAATACACCTACTTACTCATTAAACAACCATTAGTTATGAAACATTTTTTTTATGTGGCATAACACAATATATTGATTCTACAAAAGTTGCACAACTTGATGTCATCAGTCAATAGAGTAGGAATTTTAATATTTTTTGTAAATAGTTTAGTATATTACAAAAGATACAGTTTTTTTTTAACTTGTCCATCCAATTTTAATGTATTTTTTCAAAAGCACGTTTGTAGAAAAACATAATAAATATTCAAAACATCAGTACCTTGGCGTGTCACAACTCCTGAATCAAATATTTGAGTGATTTTATTTTAAAATATATTCAATTTATCTTAAATTTCACTACAAACTATAAAACATTAAATAATGTATTTTTCATATTTTATCATAGATTCGAATAATAGCAATTTTAAAAAAATTGACAATCTTTGTACTCACTTTTACCCGTCAGTTCTGTGTCCAATGTTAAAATTCAAAATTCCTGAGAAATATTGAAGTTTAATCGTCAAGTCCTCGTTTTAACTCAAGTGTTGGTAAAATATTACCTACAGAGCCGGCCCTTTGCACGACAGTCATCTTGAAAACAATGCAAGCGGCGAAGTTGTGATGAATTCACGTATAGTTACAGTCAAAATTTCAGTACTGTGGTGAGTAGTTATTTTTTACGTTTATATATTTCATTGTAATTTATACAAGGCTATATGTGATTTGTTGATAAGTAGCATTCACTAATAAAAAATATCAGTAAAATACTTAATTCCGACGTATAATCTCAAATTTGTATCCCATTCATCAGTACCGTGTCGTCAGTTCCATGTTCGATGTTTCGGTTGTCTTTTTTTCGCAAACTTCAATTCAAATTCTGCTTGCGCAGAACTTGTTTATTTAATGTCATTATAAACTCATATAAATTTGGTGTGGGTCCCATATCTAATAATTGAGATATCGGTATACCCAAAATCCACCAGCCGCCACTGATGTGTGGTATTATTTGATTTTAAGATATTTAATGTATAATATGCTCAAAGTTGCAATAAATCTTATATTTTCCAATAAATTATGTATTTAATTAGTACCCTGGTATACTCGTCACTTCCCTTGCATTCAAATTTAGAAAACACAGATATTTCAGAAACTGTTTGAAAAAGTGACTGGCCCGGTCTGGAACAGTATATTTATTATATTATCTATGTTCTCATAACAAAATACTGTTTAATTTTCTCCGAAAACTATAAAAACAAAATGAGGTCAAAAGTTGCCCAACTTTTGTAGAATCACCCATATATCATTTTTAAAATATGGCGTTAACAAAAGTATAATTAAAGGTCCATGTAAGTTTTATATACAGAAAACATTTGGTACTTCAATGGTTTATGGTCCTATGAACTTGATACTGAAAATTGCCATATATGGGTCTTTTGTGGTAAAATATACAAATATTAGCCTAAAAAGGGCCAGCACTACAGCCTATAAAAATGAATATTTTTATTAAAAATTGCCCAGCACAAGAAAAATGCCATTATTAAGCCATGGAACTATTTAATGGGCCATTACATAATCAGACTTATGTGTTTGCTGGGTCCTGTCGATTTAAGTAGACGGCCTAAGAGTTTCGTTTGCGCAATTTGTATGCGTGCACCTGGGGCGGGCCCACGTTTTGCCATTGAAAAACGGGCGCACAAAAGACAGCAGA